TGTTAGGTGTATAAAGGTTAAAAACAAAATCAATTCAAATAGTTACTTTTGCTTTGACAGCCCTTTTACAAGATATTATCCTATAAACAATTAAAAAGACAAAAAATAGAGCTTGATGTGTGAAAAAAAATTGCTCATGATCTTTATACAAAAGTCTGATGGCGAAACATTGTGCGTATTTGCACTTTCACATCCCATTCTTTCACAATGCCGTCCATAGACACACAAACCGAGCGCAAAGTACTAGAATTCCCCGGTGACAAAGGAGGGGTGTGACTTCACCACAGCCAGTGGAAGTGGACACTCCTGACCACTGTCTAACAGTTCAATCTGAGTCAGTGGAAACTGCTGAAAGGTTCTGCTTACGAGATCTGCTGCAGAGAAGCGGAGTGAGGCACATGCTCTCACTGTCACACTATTAATAAACTTCAGTGGAACACCCAGCACAAATACTCTTCCCTTTTGACAGAGCACTGGGCCCCTGACAGTTAATCTAGGGGAATAGCCGATGTTACTGTATTCAAAGACCCAAAAAAGTCAAAACGTGACTTTTATGTTTATTAGCTTTGTTGTGTGTTTTGGCACATATATACAGTAAAAGTTTACTTTGTTTCTACTGATAAAAATCAAACAAACTATGATCAATAAAACACTCCCTAGAATGAGAAATTAAGTCTAAATTTCAGTCCACTGAACTCTTACCAGGTACAGGAGGAACGTGTGCAATCCAGTTCCGAGACCAACCGAAGACAAAATACCCAGGCCTACCCAGTAGGCACACCACAGGAACTTCTTCTCCAGGTACTGTACATACTACAAACAATGGCAAACACATTAAACAGTAGCTAAGAAGCTTCAGAATAACAACTCTATTAGAGCATGTGAACAAAATAGAACTGCTAAATTACTACCTTGCAGAAGCTTTTTGTAAAAAAGTGATCATAAGAAACAAAACAAAAATAGTACAAGCAGCAAAATCATGATTCTGGCTACAGATTTGTGACCAATAGGCAAATACTGAGCTCACCTGCTGATGTGTTCCTTCTATTGAGTAAGCCATTGAGAAAAATGAAAAAAGGACTATGGTCAAAAATACCACACCTTTTCTCTGCCAAAGCCTGTAAACAAATAAAATAAATTAACTGTAATATGCATTATTAAAAGGTGGATGTGATTATAAGTAAGACTGTAAATGAATTAAAATCACAATAAACCATATATTTTGAAGTATCTCATCGCTCAAATGTTTGCAGTCGGTACGATTTTTTAAATGTTTTTAAAAGAAGTCTCTTATGCTCAACAAGGCTGCATATATTTGATCATAAATGCAGTAATATTGTAAAATATTATTACAATTCAAAATATCCGTTCTCCATTTTTTTATATATATTATTTTGATATGATGGCAAAGCTTCAGTGTCACACGATTCTTCAGAAATCACTCTAATATGCTGATTTGCTGCTCAAGATACATTTCTTATAATTAATGTTGAAAACAGTTGTGCTGGAATATATTTGTAGAAATTGTGATGCATTTTTCAAGATTCTTTGAGAATCAGAAGGTTCAAAAGAACAATTAATTTGGAATACAAATCTTTTTAGACATTATAAATGTCTTTACTGTCACTTTTGATCAATTTAATGCATCCTTGCTAAGTAAGGTTAAAAAAACTCTTTTAAACGGTAATGTGTATTGCATTCAGTTGCTTTTAAAGAAAAGAATCTGAATGATACTTGTAAAATATCACTTTTTTTCACTTGTCTAGCATTGATAGGAATTAAGGGAGCGTTTACATGACACTGTTTTCAACTAAAAGCAAAAAACGTATGTGTTTTAGCCATTCATTTACATGACAACAGCGTTTTGGTGGCCTGAAAATGCACATTTTGAAAATGGCTTTCAAAGTGCAAGTTTTAGAAAATAATACCGTTATCATCTCCGTGTAAACTACAAAAACATGAATTTGTGAAAACGGTGACGTCATGCGCATGCATATTAGGTGTTCTTCTGTCTATAGGAGTGTAGTTTTTCTTTACAAAGTGACATCGCCAACTACTGGCCTGGCATGAATAATACAGCGTTTTAGCAGATCCGTGTGAACGGGGATCGTTTTGACAGTATTGTCGTCTGTACGGAAAAAAACTAAAGTAAAAACCTTTCCGTTTTTTTAACCGTCATTTTCACCATACAATGTCAGATGCAAATACATTAGCTAAACTTCCCAAAAACTACCTAAAAAGACACTCAAAATTAGATTATGAGTGTACAATAAAAGTTTGATTGCTTACTTCCACGTCCATTCTTTCAGGGTAATGAGGGTTTCTAGGAAGAAATACTGTAGTGTGATTAAAGGCCTCTTCCACAACACTAAAGAGAGACGCTCTTCCCTGTCCTGCTGCTTTCTCTCTCTTAGAGATGAATCTGTGGGTACAATACACAAGCTTTTAACATGATTTAATTATTATACGTTTTAGAACAACATGCAACAAGTACAAAAGCGAGTTCACAAACACTACTGATTATTTCAACAAAATCAAGCAGAAAACAAATATTACATATTATAAAGGTGTATGATTTGTCATTATGATTAAAGTCAAGATGAAACAGAATTACCGACAGATCTTCGATATTGTGATATACATCTGTATAATGGCTTATTAAAAAAAAAGAAGGGTGGGGACATAGTTTTATGCATCTGTTATTGGTTCGATTTTGCGATGAGTTGTTGCACTCAAAAGTGGAGGTGAATGCGAGGCTGCAAGGATGGAGTTTAAAAGTCCTGCATACATCAGCAGAGAGAAGTGTATTTTTATTAAACGAGGTCAAAATGTTTTTCTTAAGATAAAAGATAGGGTGAATTTTCATTCCATGCGGACTTTAAGATCAATGACGAATCCATCAGTGATGATGGCAGGTCTGTTTATCTCCACAGGACGTTTTATCTCTGGTCCTGACCCTTGATCTGTTCAGCTGAGGCTTACATGCCAGCCGATAATTACATCAGCTTCCTCTCAGCTTAACAAACCTGTAGAACTGCCATTCTGCTTGTCTTTAGATCCTAGTCTTTTCTGTGGCTGTTCACATTCTGCTCCATTTGCATCCATCTCCCACAACTGTTTACAGTTCAAACACCTGCACACATAAAACAAACATATAAATGTTACTCTCTGAGGTCTTGGTAAGTTTGCTGAGGGCAGACAAACATCCCAAATCAAACTTTAAAAGTAATGACGGTGGTTAATATTCTCCAAAAAAAAAAAAACATTGAGTGGCTTATATGGTAATCTTTTGAGAATGGCTGTTATATAAAAAAAATCTGAAGGTCATAAACAGCTCAGCTGCCAATAGTATTGACTAATATAGGATATAATATGTTCTAGTACCAGTATATTCATTTATTTCCACAACAGGACTCTGAACACCTGCATATGTTGTACTAGGATATTTAACTAGCACTTAAGCTATCCTAACTAAGCCAGAACTTCATAGTAAAATATTAACCAACTGAGCAAGTGAGGTTACAGTATATGAGAATTATTAGCTCTTGTTTGGTTATTATTAATGATCTCAAATTAAAAATTTTTAGATACCATTTACAGATTATTTCATTTCAAAAAGCCCATGTGGGTGTTGAACCGGCAAGAATTAGCTGTCTAGGTTAGCTTTGAGTCCACTACCGCAGTTTAGATTTTATTTCAGACTCGACAACGAGTACATAGTCATGTTTACATACTTTTAGGCTAAAAAGAGTTAAAAGTGTCATAACAGAGATAAGGTAAAGTGAAGGGACACATTCATACCTGCAACCACTCTTCCGTCCTGACAGCAGCAATAAGGGACAACAACAGCCACAGGAAATGACTCATGCTCAGCTGTATAGCAGTGCAGTATTTTCAAAATAAAAGACGATGCTGACTGCCGGCTGGCCTCACTGTCATCTATTTGGACGATTTTATCATTAATACTAAAATTCATCGAGCTTTATGCTGACGTCATTTTCACCAAGCTCTTATCAAGAATTTCTTAGAAATGTTATATTATACTTTGATTTAATATATTACCCGTCAGTTTTGGATTATGTCGTTTTCCTCAATGAGACAAAAATAGAAAGGATATTTTAGGATTACCCAGAAAGCAATTTATATCTTCAAGGTTGGTCTTTTACGCTGCCATCGACCGTGATAGTGCAGTAGAGTAGCAGACTTCTCACTACTACCGTACTATTGAATTACCGAGAAGTTCATGTCCTTTTTCAGTGACTTATTTATTGGCGTCTAAAATGTATTTTGATTTTTTTAAACGTTTCTTATACTTATCTTTTAAAGACTGATACAAACAAGCAGGTTTGTCTTTTTTTCTTCTTACAAATATCTAGGTACAAATTTTTTGCAATTTTAAAGGTGCACTTGGTCATTTTCCCGCATTATAAAAAGTTTAAGAAATTAACACTTTTGTAAAAAGAAATTTAAAAATATGTAGTTAGTGAGATGAAGATCCCACTCACATTAGGATTTTGCTATACATGGAGGGGAGGGGGGGGGTCGCCTCATGGGGGCCACCATGTTGAGATCACATGAGCAGATGAATATCATTTGTTTGCGGAATAAATAAAAAAATATGACTAACTAGGAATTTCTTCCAAGATGTCTGCCATACTGACCAGCACAACATAGGGAAAAATTACTGCAGATCTTTAATGGCTACTGTGTTTTGTGGAAAAATAAAGTGGCAAAATATATGATGGAGAATGGATGAGTCTCATTTGAATATTTGCGAATTTACAATCAACCCACCAAAATAATCACAATCCTTTGAATTTATTTCCCTATTTGCTGATTCTGCAGATCACGCACAAATCTTACAGGTGGACAAGCATTGGTATCCATTTGTGTATTCATTCTTCTGTACACTCCAAATAATGAGCTAGAACAACACGACACCTGGCACACACAAACCTCAATACAAAGAATTGAATGAGTAAACACAGAAGTCAGAAGAATCAATGTATCCCTTGCTCATTTATGGAAATGGACTCACACAAGAAAGAGCACTGTATTCAATACAAGGAAAGGTCACCTGTTACACATGGAGTGAATGAGATGTTAACAACTACGAGGTCGATCGGGGAAACCTGTTTAGGCTAAGGGATTAAAATCGTTTACTATATTTATGTCTGTATGCGCTTAAAATGTCCATACAGCTACATATTTGTGTAGAATATCAGATTATTACTTAGTGTTAGCTAAATGTACCCATGGATGCATACGTTCATGTTCAAATATTGTTTTAACCTTTTTCATAATATACAATAATGAAATGCATTAAACAGACTGACAGTGTAAGCTCTTCACATACAATACATCAAAATTAAGAGATTCTACATTAGTTTCCTCTCACGACAGAGTGCAAATCAGATGCTTCACGACATGTTTTAAGGTTAATTGCTCTTCTCAACACTCCATTTACATACACAACCCATTGCCCCCTTAAAAAAATTAAATCACACACACAAAAAAATTCCTAGTGATACAAGTAGCCTTAAATATATGGAATGTGAAATAAAACAAATGTGGTCCGATTGTTTTCTTTGACAATACAAATAAAAATGAAGTCCTTCATTGCATTTTAAGGAAAATAATTTAAAACGCGTAACTTTTTTTTTTTTTTTTTACTTTATATAACCTTGTGTGTAGACCACAATAAGCTAGTAAGGAACTTAAGGAGAGATGGATGGACAGCTGTGGGCAGGAGGGCTTTACATGCCATAGCCGAAGCCTGGCTGTGCGGGTTGGCCGTAGCCAGGTGCCGTGGGGTATCCGTAGCCGTAAGGCTGCTGTGGGGGTACTGCGACATTGGGACCTGCAGTGAGCATCAGCTGGGGTGTGCCTGGGAAAAAATATTAAACACCATGAAAAACGGTTGAGCATTATCACACAAAAACAATCTACATCAGGTTGATCATCTTATTTAAAATGTTTAGTATGCAATTGTAAATTAGTTGACATCAGACTACTTAGCATTTGTAACAGTAGCTGCATTTACATGGACCCTAATAATCCGTTTGTAATCGGATTAGTAGCACAGCTGGAATAAAAAAGTCACATGTAAGCACGTAAAATGGAATTAATTGGCCAAATCTGATTTAAATTTCATTCAGTTTGTAAGAGGTGGTTTAAACCTTTTCAGTTTGACAGGACATGTAAAAACTTGATCAGATTAAAAGCTGAAACTGGAAAGTTCTGCGCATGTGCAATGATGTATGACCCACAGAATGAGCTGCTGTTTTTCTTTTGACTCATCGTTTGTTAAGTGGAGCAGGACAACGTCCCACCAGTGCTTGCTTCGGACTCTAACCCACAGACGCCTTGTTTTGGGCACGGGGAAGGGGTGTTTTTACTGCTTGATAAATATAAGCACCATGGCACAAAGCTTCATGTGCTCGTTGTTTCCTAATTAGAACCCGAAAAACAAATATTAAGGGTACGTTTACACTACAACGATGTACTTAAAACTGAAAAGTTTTCTATTTGCGTTTTTCGCATACAGGCGACAACGTTGTCAAAACGATCCCCGTTCAACACGGTCCACGGATTTGCAAAAACGCTTAAAAACACTGTATTATTCATGCCAGGCCAGTAGTTGGCGATGTCACTGTAAAGATAAACTACGCACCTATAGGCTGAACATGTAATACGTATGCGCATGATGTCACCGTTTTTGTGTGTAAATATTACAATATATATGTAAATAGGGCTGGACAATAATTCAATATCAATATATATCACGATATATATTTTTTTCAATAACGGTGATATGATTTTTAAACATTTCCGATATTTCAATATACATTACAGGCATGCGCTACGTTTACATGCAACCAGATAATCCATTAGTAATCGGATTGATGGCTCAATCGGACTGAAAAGCCTTCATTTAAACACCTTAATCGATCCGATTGAGCTCGATCCGAATGAATTTGATCGAATAGAGAGCGGTGGTTTATTCCTTTTCTAATACGATCGAGAGGACATGTAAACACTTGATCGGATTGAAAACCGAGACTGAAAGCACTGCACATGTGCAATGATGTTGAAATAGCGTATGTATGACGTGCGAACAAACTGTTTTTCCTGTTTAAATAAAGTGTCATATAAATGAGCGTCCCGTCATTCTATAATTCTCATTTCACTCAGCATCTGTGAAGTGGAGCAGGACAACGTCCCACCAGTGCTTGTTTCAGACTCTCATCCACAGACGACTGGTTTTGGGCGCGTGCTTGTGACCCGATCACTTGTTTAGCGTTCATGTAAACACTACATTCAGATTCATCAATCGGAATGAATTTAGGGTGTCATTAAAGGGGTCATATAATGGTACATGCACTTTTACAAGTTGATTGTACTGAAATGTGTGTTGGCAGTGCCTGTACACAAACATCATAAAATGATAAAAAATCCATCCAGTGTTTTTGTTTTAATCTCCTTGTTTTCCCGTCTCAAATCAAGCCGTTCGACCATGTGACGTCACACGGTCGGACGCCCCTCCCGCGATTGTTGATTGACAGCGGGGTTTCAACACAGACCCGCCCTTGCTCGTGAGCCCTTGCTCGTCAATCATAGTCTGCGCGGACCGGCGCGGTCATTGTTCATATGCTGGAGCACTGTCTATGAGCAGAATGGCGTCTAAGCGATTGTGGTGTTCTGTTCTTGGGTGTAATAACGAACACAGCAGTCATTTTAATGTTCCTAAATCCGAACCGCTGAAGACGCAGTGGCTGAGTTTGTTTTCGAAGGGAATATTCCCCACGAGCAACGTCAATGCTCTCATGTTTGCGCGAATCATTTCACACACCAGACTGCTTATAAACGAGGAGGGTCAGTATAAAGCTGGTTTTGCTAAGAAGCTGCTCCTGGACCGGTACCAGCTATTCATGTTCCTGCTGAACCTCCAAAATAACTGAAGTGAGTGTAACGTTTTATTAATCTTTAATATTTATATTAATCTTTGCAAATCGCTAGATGCACGCTTCACAATGAATGCGTCTAAGGTTTACACTCAGGGTACATTACGGTATGTTTTCTATGTACGACGTTCTCAATATAATTCATAATCCCACGTCTATAATGAACAACGCGTTATGGTTATTGTGTTACAAACGGTGTACACAGAACAGAGAGGCGGGGTGAGCAAAGCTCATTATCATTCAAAGTCATATGCACTGAAACGGCGTGCTGAAAACAGAGCTGTTTTTGACCAAGTAAAAAAAGTGTTTTCTTACAATACTAATGAGAATTTTTAATTAAAGTATATTACAAAGTTTTAATTTAGACTCTAAAGAATCATATTAGCTTGTACAAAAATGGCATTATATGACCCCTTTAACCCTCAAAATGTCCCTCAGCAACATGTGTTTTTTTGCAGCAGCAGCAGCAGCAGCAACTCTGAGCACTATTCTTATTCTTTATCCTGGCTGACGCACTTTTTTCAATCTAAGAAATATAATCAACCTATGTTAGCCTATAGTTTAAAGTTAAAGATGTTAATATTAATATTTTGAGTCATGTCTATTTGACGGTGATTTCACAGTTCTTGTTTGTATGAAGGCTAAATACAAATAAAATATTAACAATAATTTATTTGCACCATTTTTATTTCTAAAATATTATATAGTTTTATAGGAGGAGGTTTCAGAGACTTGGCAAATTAATCTTTCAGAAGTTTGTAGGTACAGACATTCATTGTGGGCGTTCTAGGCAGTTTTTCCTGAGGCTTTTATACTGTTCATATCGATATCGGAATTATATCGTATCGACCGAAATTAAGAAATATATTGTGATATAAATTTTGGCCATATCATCCAGCCCTATATGTAAATTAAATATAAAATTCATACAAAAACAACAAAACACCAAACAAATCAAATGCAAAACAAAACACACACCACAACAGCCAAACAAAACAACCAAAAGCTAAACAAATACACAAAACAAAAAAAGCTAAATGTATTATTTAGATAATAAGTAAAATATAAAAAATAAAATTAGATGAAGGGGCAGTACAAGGGTCTTACCATAGACAATGGGTTGTGCCTCCGTGAGCTGTTCTTCCTCTTTCCTCAAAGACTCTGAAGCATCCAACTTATCAACCTGAATGAAGAAGAGCGAGAAAGGAGGAGAAAAGAGGAAAAGTGAGAAGAGATAAATACCCTGAAGAAAGGGGGTAATGACTGATGGATGGGACCATTCATGGGAGATGCATAAAGCCAAGCTTAATACAAGGTGCACACGCTTTCAAAGCAGTTCTCAGGGCACAAGCTTCTTGCCAAGGCACTCCATACCCGATGACAAACCACTGAAATAAGCATCCTACTATGTACTATTAGTCTATGCAATTCACATGTATGCTATGCTTTATATGTCCTCTATGATTCAGTCAGTAACAAAAGACATGGTACTAATAGTAGATGGTCCCCCATTCAGTCAGTCAGTATCCTATTATTTAACAGTGCATATGTAGAAAACAGAACCCTCTTAAGTTGCGGTCACATTTGCAAAATATCGGGGAAATTTCACGGGGAAAAAAGTCCATTGTATCAAAGCATAAATTACAGCTCACACAAACTAAGCAGCTATTGGTCAGTACAGTGAATTCTAATGACCAGATAGACCTAATGCGAAATCTGTGTGGGGAAATCTTTCGTCCTCACGAGAAACTCCCAAACGCATAGATTCCTTTTAATATGACTGGATTTTGTCCGCGAAATCCACAGAATAACAGTAAATGTGACCGCACCTTTAGTCAAACCGAAGGTCTAACTTGATGTTATGTGCCAAGAAATGCAGTGTGAATATTTAAACGGGAGGATGCTGCTCATTGGACAGGTTCTGTGAAAGATGCCCCTGTGAGGAAAAGGAAGTCATTGCAAAAATGATATAAACTAAACCTTACTAAAGTCCAATAGGTATCTTACCAGCATAAAATAACCAAAAATTATACTCTGATATGGCTGATAAACATGACCAATAAGTTACAAATGGTAGAGTCTTTTTCAATTATGATTTAAAGCAACAGTTCACCCAATAAGTGCAATTCTGTCCTTATCACCCTCATTTCGTTTTAAATCTGTTAAAATTTTTTCCCATGGAACACAAAAGGAATACTTCTGAAGAATGTTCAAGCTGATTTTTCTCATATAATGAAATGCTGTTGAGCTTCAAAAAATATTTTAAAAGTACCATTAAAGTGGTCCTTGTGACTATAAGTCTTCTGAAATTAGACGATAACTCTGTATGAGGAACAGACCAAAATTTAACTTCTATTGTACATTTTATTTTATGCCAAAGAGCAGCTGGATTATTCTTCAAAATGTCCCCTTTTGAATTTCACAGCAGAAACAGAGTCACAGGTTTGGAATGACTTGAGTATGAGTAAATAATTACAGAATGTAAATTTTTGGGTGAACTATCCTTTTAAAAGTTAAAAAGGCATTTGGGTTCAGTTCTCTACATAGAGCTGGTGTCAATTTTTTTTAAAGTTAAAGAGTTATGTTGTTGAGTAGGCTTAAAAGAGATCGGCAGGTCGAAGTTTCGTTGAGAGGGAGAAATCATGCCACAGGTGTAGTTTGTTATTCCTATGTTAAAAAGAGTGCATGAGAGAAAGGCAGAGTAAGAGTGAAGGTGTGACGGGGTGAGAGATGGTTTATTCAGCCATTCACGGCTTCCAGAGGCAGGCAAAGCCAACAGCCACGATCCCTAACCGTACAAGGGTGCTACTAACACGGTAAAACACATGCTTGTAAAGCATCTACAGCAAACAATGGTTTTATTTTTGTGAAGGACCACACTTTCTCAAAGCTGTCGCTAGATTGTAGCTTGAAAGCAAATCGAGCAACCATGCACCTCTCAGTCCGAGACAAATAACATTTAATTCTGTATTAAAATAAGTGTGAAAATGTGGTCACTTCTTTTTGCCTTCATCTCATTTTTAACCTAATTACCCACAACTGAATTAGCTGATGAACATTAACAATCTATAATTATAAATTTAAAGGGGGGAAAAAACTATAGTTGACGAAGACAATCAATGAAAAGACCGTTTAGATCCGATCCGTTCATCAGCTAATTCCAGATTTCTACCATCTACAGGTCTGAGGCGAACTACCACAGCGTCTGGCAAACGGATGGCCAGTAATCTACAAGAAACTCAAGGAAAGTCTAGTTAAAGTGTGTATTTAAAAGCAGCAGAGTGACATGGGAGGGAAGAACTCATGCAGATTCTTCAAAGTTTCAGTCTTCCAAACTACAAGGGTTAAAGATGGAATAAGACTGAACCTTCACCTTTTCCTTAATTGCATCAACCTGAAAGGAAATTTAAGAGTGGCAGCTTAAGAAAAAAAGCAAACTTAACAGTCCAGCATTGCAAAAAGCAGGTAGAGCACAAATGTTAAAAGAAATTTACAGCGGGAAATCATAGAAGATACAAATCAAATGTCCTCCCTGTTACTCCATTAGCTGTTTAAAAGAATGAATGATCATTACCTAGTGTAACTATGAATCTAAACTTTAAAAAAAAAGGTCTTGTTATGGTAATGAAATATTCTTCATGAATAAATGTGTGGTCTAAACATGTTCATGAATGATAGAAGAATTAAAACTTCATAAAACTTAACATGCAGTAGCATGTAGAAAACATCAAATTATTCAATATGGAAATGTGGTACTAAAAATCTGTTCCAAAACCAAGCGAGCAGCCTACCTACACAGCATTTTAAGGCATCGTGTACACTATCATTTAAAAGTTTGTGGTCAATGCGATTTAAAAAAAAAAAAAGGACACATTAAGTTGATCAAATGTTATAGGAAAGACTTCTATAATGTTATGAAAATTTCTAATTTAAATAAATGCTTTTCTTTTCAACTGTCATCAAAGAACCCTGAAAAAAATATTAAACCGAACAACTGTTTTTAACATTGATGCTAATAATACATGTTGCTCAAGCAACAAATCAGCATATTAGAATGATTTCTGAGGGATCATGTGACACTGGAGACTGGAGGAGACCAGTTAAATGTGTAATCTCACGCAAATGTCAAAATGAAAAGAGGGTATGCATTGACGTCACTTTCCCGCCAGGACCCCCTTGAGCTGAACTAACTGAGTGGCAAAAAATCCCGCAACATGTTTGGATTTAATAGGGGAAACTGCGTAAACGGGAGTAAATCAAACGATCATCTTCTTAAATTAAAGGCAGTTGGACTCAAAAGTTTTCCTCACAACTCACCAAAGAACCAGTGGTCCATGGACATTGACATGTTTCCAGGAATCGGGTTTCCTGACGTTTATATGTACCTGATTTAGACGCCGAGGAAATACATAAACTAAAGCCTGTGAATGCTTTATCTGCTAGACAAAACTATAAATACAATATAGGTAGATCTAAATCGGGACGATCACTTACATCATTGTTATATATCTTCATATTGCCCCGCCCTAAAACTTGTTAAAGCACTAAGGCATTATAGACATAACATTATGACTTTCTGTAAAGCTGCTTGAAATGTGTATGTGTATTTTGTACAGCTATACAAATAAATTTGAGGCTTGGTCACAGTTCATGCTTGGATATTCTAGTTATTTCAATATATTTTGTAGAAACTTAGAACACAAGCCTCATAATGAATGTTTTTTAATAAACACTGACAAAAACTTTAGTTACGCAGAATATAAGATGGTAAATATTTAATTGAGTTGTCAATATAATATATGACCTAGGGAATGATTTTACCCCAAAATTCAACATATCTCTGACACAAAGCAGTAACTGCAAATCCACGTTTCTCTGCCTGGATTCCAGTAGTTTCTGTGAATTGCAGCGATCCATTTGCTTCCCTTTCCTGTAGCTTTCAGCAGTCTGTAAAAGACAGCTTCGATTTCTTGTTGAATCTATTTAGGTCAATCGCAATTCTTTTCCATTTTAGATGTGTTTTGTGTGTGTTATTCACGGCATTCACACCGAACACCAATGCTACCACTCTTTCTTTTTGCCACTCTGTGGGTGTAACCACAGTGACATCACGTGTTTTTCACCTCTATATCGATTTTTCATAGTGTACATTTGTGATGCCTAAACTCACTTGTGGCATTTTAAACAAATTATTGTAGCTTGAAGTGTTTTATTTTTAATTTACTTACAGAAAATAATATAACATTGTAATATTAGTCATTTATCAATCATAAATTGAAAAATAAAGATGGAAAAGATGAGAAAAAGAGGGAAACGGTCAAGAGAAATGTTTGTTTTTAGCAAACAGGTAGTCTGCTATGTATTTTTGTTTATTAGAATACTGTGTTGGTAGCTAAGAAACATGCTAACGTCAAACTTTATTGGAATAATTTCCGAGTCAGATTTATTAGAAGGCACCCGCTCCACGTAGCAGCTCACTAGGTTTTGGAACAGGGCTTAAGTGTTTTCTCTGAGAAAAGGCGTGTTCTAGCAAGGGTCTTCAACTGGGGGTCTGCCAATTACTGATTGATCACAAATAATTTTTTGTTACATTAAAACATGGGTAAAAACATACAATTTAAATAAGCACCCTAAAACAGAAGCAAGAGCACCCTCAGTTGATACTGTAATATCATACTGGCAAAACAGATTAGTCATGTTTGTTGATCCAATCAGAGACGTTATATTTAGTCAGAATCCACTCACCGCTCAAAATGATGAATTTTTTGTTCAGCAACGAGTTCAGCACGCCCCGTGAATCCTCTCATTAAAGGGTTAGTTAAAATTAAATGAATTTTCTGTCATTAATTACTAGCCCTCGTGTCGTTCCGAACCTGTAAGACCTTTGTTCATCTTCGGCAATTGCAAGGACGTTGCTGCCTATGGCTGGTTTGGAAATCTCTCAGATTTCATCAAAAATATCTTAATTTGTGTTCTGAAGATGAACGAAGGTCTCACGAATTTGGAACAACATGGAAAGACATTACAGGGTGAGTAATTAATGACAGAAATTTCAGTTTTTGGGGGAACTAACCCTTTAACAAAGAGACAATATATTGATTTTAATGGAGATCGTGAACTGAGATGAGTGACAGCTTTTTAGTGATTGTAAAGGGTGCAGTCTTTGCATGCTTTCGAGGCTATATATAATCCATTGAATTAAAGTTTGTTTTTTCATGCTGCTAAGAGGACTGGCGGCCCAAAATTTTGGAAGTGAAATCTACATATAAATGTGCGATTTACTCTCAAAATTGCAAATGACATTGTGATAACTAGCACGGCACAAAAACATGGCATGTCCAAACAGATACACGTAATGTAAATGCAGACTAACAGATAAATAAATAAATGTAGCAATATATTTTGGATATTCCAATTATTTGTAAAACTAATGACTCACTGTACATTGCTATTCTGGTTATGGTGGCAGCTTTGCTTACAAATTACATTTGCACTTTACTAGAGAACCCACACTAATTTCACATACTCATTGATTTAATTCTTAATTGTCACTTTTTAGTTTTAGTCAATTTTAAGCTAAGTTTCAAGTGATGGTTTAATTGTCCATCTGACAGTAAAATTAAAATATGAATTTTTAATGACCTTGAATTAATGTTTTTTTTTATATCTCAATTATATGCTTGTTATGATGCATAAATCTCAATTTTAACAATGAAAAGTAATATACAGACAATGATGCATGTGCAACAACAATAACATGCATAGTTATAATCTACTGTCTTAACATAACTATCATAATATGGTTGTTTCTATTAATATCGAAGGCTATATGCTTAATATGTAGCTCTGTTTTACACATTTTGTATTGGGGGCCCCTGCTCCATGTCTCTATCGCCTAAGGGGTCCTTGCCCTGAAAAACGTTGAAGACCACCATCAGACCCAGCGGATCCTCTAGATGGGGGCTCACCTTGGAGAGGTACTCCCTCATGACCTGGATGAAGTAGGGCATGGAGAAGTCCATGAGGTTGTGTCTCCACGCTGTCTCCAGCACCACGTCAGGCCTCAGCAGGTCGTAACAGGTGAACAGGCAGGCGGCAAAACACTCTTTCTTGTCATCCTGCAAGAACCACTGCAGCAGCTCCTCGGCCAGCTCTGTGTCCTTTGACTCTGAAGCGTACTGCATCGCGTCCTGTGGAAAAGCGACAAAAAAAACAGTTTTAGTTAACTGTCCTGCAAAAAAAATTGGGGTCAGGGGGCTGAAAAGGAGTGCTAGGAGGTCTGTAGAAAAGCAGAGTGTAAAACAGTGTAAAAAAAAATTTTTTTTATATAAATAAAAACAATTAAAATGAAATGAAAATTAAATTTTATATAAATAAATAAACATAACTGTACAGTACTATAGGTAGAAAAAGAACATAATAAACGTTACTTAATTGAAATTAAATATTTTCCAAATATATATAATATAAATGTTTATATTTTAATTTAATAAAATAATAATAAATAAATATAATGTATAATATATCTATAATGTCTTAAATTTTCGCATGGAGGTCCCTCACATATAATCACTTTCAGGGGTTCGTGACATCTAAAATACTGAAAATCCATGGTATAAGAGACGGTTGGCTAAGGGTGAGACCTTGTAGAGTTTGTCTTTCTTGCAGAGCTCCACGCTCTGCTTCCAGCGGTTGTTGCCTTTGAACAGGTAGGCGGCGATTCGCCTGAACTCGATGAGTTCATGCTTCTCCAGGCTCTGAGCCAGAGATATGTTGTCGAAGTTGTCGTAGGCATCGATGGATGTGCGCAGAGCCTGTGAAAAAAGAAACAAAAAAGACGACAGATTGCAAAGCTGCTAACCAAGAGACTGTTTATCAAATGACTGTCCATTGATATATACCAGATAATCCTCCTCTGTGATGAAGAGATTATTTAGTGCCTCGTTTACAGCCTTGTTGTTGTGGTTCTGTACAGATCTCAGGTAAACTTTCACCAACGGCAACTGCTTGACCTAAAAGAAACGAATCAAAATGATTGGATCTTTCCTGGCTGAAAACAACCAACTGGTTGTAACAGTAAGCAAAAGTTTGTACACAGTACCTTGCTGAAGAAATTGACGGCACGAGTGTGGTCAAGACGTGGGGACAGTACGATCAACAGGTCGTTCAGTAACAGCGGTTTAAACTCCAGGTAAAACTGGACGGCTTTGTAATACAGCTCAACGTTAGCCACCTGCAACAAAAAATGTACGAAAACAGTTCATTTCCTTTACCTGCTGCTGTGGCCGATAAAAAAAACTACTTTTTTAAATGAATGCAAGCAAACAAAGTTTGAACAAAAGGCTAACTCTGAGTAAAGTGAGACAATACCTTGGTTATGATGTCCTTGAACTGGCTCTCCTTCCAGGCATCTGCAGGATGGTTCATCATGGTGATGATAGCATTATCATACTCCTCATATTTATCATACAGGAATACTAGTTCGCCCCACAGGTGAGCCTGCTCAGCTGCCCTCAAAACCTGAACAGATACATCAAATTTAATTTGTTCCATCAAATCAATACGTAGATATGCAAAATACATAGAGAGTGCCTAAATAGATGGATATTATGTGTTTGCTATTTTTAATTAGAGTTTGTTCGGCCCCAAAAATATAAACTCCATTTACATTAATACTGTATATATTATAAGCAGAGAGACATTTCAGAGTTTACAGAATGGTTTTAGTTCACCGACCTTGGGAATGTTAACTCTGGACCAGAAGAGCTCCAGGTGCTCCCTCATCTTTTGCGGTTTGAATTTAGAGTAGAGGATGGCCAGTTCTGTGAACATGCCCATGTGAGCGCGCTCCAAGCCCAGCGCCGCCTCCAGCATGGTGATCAGCTCCTCGAAATAGCCACGGTCCTGATGGAGGAGCAACAACAAACATCAATCAGCCCTGCTGGACTCCAAGATGGACAGATACTGTACACTAAGGAGGTTCTTTTAGGGCTGGGCGGTATTTTAAGTTTGTACGATAATCAATATATTTTTTAGAAACAATATAGGATTAGGCAAATTCCATTTATATCGATATACAGTAGCTTGATATTATGACTGCATCTGAAAAATAGCGGAGGACACGGAGTGAGCTGCTGTGCGGAGACCGTATAATCCAATTTGTCCTAAACATGAGACATGCTTTATATTAAGGGTTTCAAAATAGCTCATAAGATATAGTTAACGCATATAGTTTAGCGTGGCTTTCCCCGTCAGAAGCTCTAACAGATACTTAGATGCAGATGCATTTGAGGTGTGGTGTTTTCCTCAGTGCATAACTTAAATTTCACAGGTATATTCTCTATCTGTAAATGTTAGAAAGTCATGGAAATATTTTGCTGTCAGGATTGGACTGCTTATGCAAGCAAGTCTCCGCTAAACCTCCTAGACTTCGGTGTACGAGCGGCGCCGCGCGCATGCGCACCAAACACACGGAGCGCAATAATTCTGACTAAAATATACATTTTGCTCAAATATTTGTTGATGGACATTAAAAGTGCCATTTGTAGAATTTTAAACCTACAAGTAAGTGTTTTTTATGTTAGCAGTAACTGTAGTGACTATTGTAATGAGGTAATCAAATGAAGGCTAATATAGTAACTATAAGCTCAGATGAGTGAATGTGTGTCCCTCTTAACAGTTAACATTTAGTCTGTGTTTTGGTTAGTTCAGTGGATTGAACATCTGCTTTAAAAATCCTTTTGTTTGTGGATTGTAATGTTGTTGTTACATGTTAGAATGCAATGTGATTTTTAACCCTTTTTGTACACATGATTACATTCACTATTTGTTTGCATAGCCTTCAATATAAACATTGTTTGTAGAACAACATTGGGCAGAATGTGAAATAACATTTAAGTAAATACAGATTTTTTTTTTATCCAAATAGAAAAATGTAGAAAATACCGAGATATATACCGTAAATCGCCATTCAGCCAAAAAATAGAGAGATATGATTTTTTGGCCATATTGCCCAGCCCAAGGTTCTTCTGAAAGCAAAAACTAAAATGTTCCTCCTGGCAAATTCATTTCCATGGTTTTTCAAGTTGTTTGTGTTTACTGGATAAGGGTTTTAAAAAAAAAAAAACATCATGGCAATTATTACACTAATACATTCTGTTTTGTTTGTAATCCTATAGTATTTATAGTTTTATATGTTTGTAAATGAAATTTAAAACTATTATAGTAAATATTATAGTTTAAAAAATATATTCACTATAGAACATTCCTTAATATTTCCAGGTTTTCCATGACTGTGGGAATCAGGTTAATATTTCATCTCAAACCAAATGAAATAGCCAAATTCTCAGTCTAACCTGGTAGTAGTTGATGAGCTCCTCAAGTTCATCAGCATGAACGACAATATGTAATCCACACATCTGAGCCAGACGAAACTCCTTCCCGTCAACACAGGCAAAGCAAACCTACGAGCAGAGAACATCTTTGTCGCTAATGTATCACCAATATCTAAAACACAGAACATTAAGAAGCAAAGCAAATGGGATTCAATCTTTCAAAGACAAAGCAGGTAACCTGCCACTGAAAATGTGCTTTGTTACAGTAGGAAAGTGCAAGAAATCATCTCAGAATGTATAACCAGACCTCTTTCCAGGTCCTCGTGCTGTTGGCTTTGCGGGCCCCATCGACAGCAGCCTGATACTCCCCAAGATGCACCAGAGTGGAGGCCAGACGCCCGAAGTTAGATACATTGTTATAAAGTAGTTTAGCTGCATCGTACATCTTCTCATCATAGCATCGGTCACCAACCTAGACAGAAAAAGAGCAAAAGGCATTATCAATCAGACTTTTTTTTTTTAAAGTGCAAGAAATGTACTTTTTATTTAAGGGCAATATTTATTTTTTACCTTATTTCCAAGGGCTTATTTTTTTTCCTTATATTTGCATACTTTAGATTCATACCTTATATTTTTCCTTTATATCGGAATAATTACAATAACAGCTGAATATATCAAAACTATATCAAAAATATGCAAATTACAAAAATGAATTTATTATTGAGTCATTTTAACCCACACTTTGAATTTCAGAGACATTTGTGTCACTTTTGGTGGCATATTAGACTCCATTAATTTCTGACCTTATCAGCTCAACAAAAGTAGGAGACTCTTACTTGTTGAATGTGTGCGTTGTTTGGCCCATTGATAAACTCCTCCAGTTCAGCTAGACGGTTAGTCTTGGCCAAGGCAAAGATCAGCTCGGTCTCTACGTAAGATTCTCGGGCCTTCTTACGAGCCATCTGCAGAAACTTGACCAGATCCTCCCAGTTCCCTGAGAACAAAACAACAATTAGTTCCCTACTAGACCATTTTCCATATTTATAAACACCTTACCTTGAACGTTATGGATTTAGTCATGAAACAGGCACTTTTTTTGTGGTTCTTACCACTTTGGGCTGCAGCTTGTCCCACTTCCATGTAGGCTGAGGGATCGTCAGCTTTGATGTAAGAGTCAATGGCCTCTTTCACCAGCCCCTTTTGCAGCTGTGCTTTAGCCAGCTGACTCCACACGGCCGGCTCATTACAGCGCTCAGCAAACTCATAGGCCCGGTCCAGATTCCCAATGTGCTCGATAAGAACCTACAGTCAAGAAAAATAACAACTGATTTGAAACAAGGAAGCGCAAGTAAGACTCTATGCAATTAAGTCCATGTACCTGTGTAGGATATATTTCAGAGATAAGATGTACCTGCACTGCTGATGTGTTCACATCGAACTTCCTGAAGATCGCAAAAGCCTCCTCGAAGAGCTCATTGCTAATGGCGATGTTAGCGATGTCCGGGGCGTCGTAGTTGTCGAGGCGGTTGATGTACTCCATGACACGTGTGCGGTCAGCTTTGATGGCCGTCAGGATCAGGAGGTTCTGCAGGTTCCTGGGACACAAATAATGGAAAAGCAAATGTTTAACACCCAAAATCATTTTATGTTCTGTCCCCTCTCAAATGTTTCTACCAGATTAAATTACCGGTGTTCGCTGAAAACGGAGTTGTCCAGGACGATTTTCTCCAGGAGCTCAATGAGTTCATTGGGTAGGTCAGCAGTCATGAAAGCTTTGACAGTAACAGAGACTTCCTCAGGGTCCTGGGTCTCAGAAAGTGCAGTCTGCACAACCTGTCGTGGGTGGGAAGATAAATTGAGTTTAATCTTTACGTTTGAAGCACTTTTTTCCATTATAACTCATAAATGTACTTAAAAGTCAACATGAAATCAAAACTGGGCCCATTTTCTTTCTTATTAACAATTCTATTCCTAGTCTTTCAGCAAACACGCTGAAACAATGTTCCTTTTCTGAAGAGATCACCAATCCCTCTTATTTTTTAGCCCCTCCCTTTCAACCATTTGGTTACATTATTGGTGTGTAACACACACGTTTCACAATCCAAACAATTCTCAATGGATTTTTTTTTTTACATTGTTGCATTCTACTGGGAAATGTGACATTAAGGAGATAAAATGGGTTGTGAATAGAGCTTCATGTTGACTTCACTGTAATTTTCTTATTTGCACCTGATCGATTAGGGGTCTCCTGTAAGGGTTGGTTTCCAGAAGCACACTAGCCCACAGCTCGGGGTCCTTACGACGCACAAGGTATCGGGACAGACTCTTGAAGAGTGAGTTCTCATTGCAAACCTACGAATGTAAAAGAAATAAATATTTATAGCAATTTTCTTCCATTTTAGAAACTAAATATGCAAATAACAAGCTCAGAAGAAAATCGCTTAAAATATTCCACTGCAACAAACACTAAAACAAAAGCGCTTTTGTTCCTTACATGGATGAGCTCTTGGTCACACTGTCCTCTCTCATAAGCCACACAGGCCAGATGGGGGTCCCTCTTCTCGCAGTACTTGCCCACCACGCGGCTATCATAGAAGGGGTTTTCTCTGAGGAAGCGCTCAGGGTTGTTGTTGCTGTCGATGTAAATCTTAGCCAGAGCATTATGGGTAGCAGGTTCCTCACAGCCCTCGTGAATGCGGGCCTCCAACCACGGCAGAAGCAGCTTCAGTCTGTTATACAGATCAAAACAGTCAATTTTGGACCCACAGCCAAAATCAGCCCAACGCCAATAATATAAAACTGGTTTTGGCCAGTATTATAGACTAATATGGCAATATGATTAGTGACAGAACAATTAATCAGCCAATATTGGAGAGTTGGATATCATTGTGCCCATTTACAGAAGTGTTGTTTATATATATATATATATATATATAAATAAAAAAAAGTGTTAAATATATATATTGTGTATATATTATGGACTCTACATTCAAAAGTTTGGGGGTCAGTAATATTTTGTACTGTTTTTTGAAGAAGTCTCTTATGATCAGCAAGGCTACATTTATTTGTAGTGATTTTATCTGGCTGATTAAAAACAGTAATATTGTGAAAATGTATTATTTAAACAATGTAAAATAACTGTTTTCTATTTTAATATATTTAAAATGTCATTTATTCCTGTGATGGTAAAGCTGAATTTTCAGCATAATTTCTCCAGTCTTCAGTGTCACATGATCCTTCAGAAATCAATCTAATACGCTGATTTCCTGCTCAAGAAACATTTCTTATTATTATCCATGTTTAAAGCAGTTGGGCTGCTTCTTTTTTTGCATTTTTAATGGGTTCTTTGATAAATAAAAATAATTTATTTGAACTTTATAAATGTCTTTACTATCTTTTTTTTTTTTAAACGAATAATTCCGATAAAAAATTTTTTATACAAAAAAAAAGTATACTTCCATAAATTGCATTGTGTAAAATATTTTACTCATTTGTTATTGAAATTGTATTATGAATTGATCTGTTTTATATTGGACATCCTGCCGTCTACATAATGGACATTGAAAAAAAAAAAATTCCCTAAACTGTGACTTAATGTCTTAAAGCAGCCGTATCTAACCTGTTTCTTTTCTCCACCTCGGCCACAAGCTCATCAGTGGAGAACTGCCCTCTGACCACCAGAATAAGGTTCTTAATGACGTCCTCAGAGCAGTCCACGTCCAGCAGTCCACCAATCACCACGGGTAAACGGCTGGGGTTCACCTGACAAAAACGGTTTATCACTCAATCAGTCAGTCATCATAATCATCACCCACTTCTACAGGAACAGAGAGCTGAGATGATCGTTGTCATAATCAGGCCTCAAGTACCTTCTGAACGTAGATCTCGATGTACTTCTGCAGGTTGTTGCGGTACAAGTAGAGCACGAGGTCGTGGACAAAGTCAAAGCGGTCACACACAATGATGAGAGGCAACTGGTCGGTTAGTTTTGCTTCCTGTTAAAGACAGGGTAAATTATTGTTTTGAATAACATAATGCACTATTAAGATGGTTGTTAAAAGCCTTAAAAGAAATTCAAGACCCCTTCAGGTGTCATACCTTGAGGAAGTTCTTCACACGCTCAGGATCGTAACAGTTGCTCTCTCTACAGATTCTCTCCACTTCTTTGATTTGACCAGTTTTACAGGCAGCCTGGATGTATTTGAAGTGAACCTCTGGATCCTGGCTGAAATTCACAATGGAGCCCAGGAAGTAGAACAGACCTGCAGAGTTAATGATAGAACATACTGAGCTTGACATCGGATTCATTTCCATGATTCAGTTTAAACTGTCCATTTCAAAGAATCAATTTAAAACAATTGTTCAATGATTTGTTGGTGTCATCACTAAAACTCACTTCGCCAGTGTTAAAATTTTGTAAAAATAGAGATGTACCCATATTAAAATTCAGAACGATACCGACAAGCCATTAATAATCATGTTATGGCTAATAACCAATAAATGTCTGATATCAAAAAAAATATATATATAAATAATAAAACGAGGAGAATTTAGAACACACAATAAAATACAGAAAATAAAACAACACCAATAAAATGCAGAATCTTTAATACACTAATAACCAATTTTGTACACAAATACCATGTATCCATAGTAAAAAAAAAAAAAAGGAATAATATTTGTTTACTTGGCAAAAATAGCTGTTTGGTTAAAAAAAGTATCCACCTACCGGTATATAACAAAACATACACATGTATATTATCCTGTCCTAATTTCAGAACATATCAATTGTGATGCATTGAAACTGATTTTAGAATTGTTACCCTCAAAGCTCTTGAAGGATTCAAAAAGCTCTGTGAGGGACTGGGTGGAGAGCTGCTCGTGATACTTGGAGGCCACCTGGACGCAGATCTGGAGGTTCTGCCTGATGTTGGCAGATAGCATGGCTCTCAGACACTCCAGAGAGTCCTCCACAGACAGAGAGCCAAAGAAGTTCACCAGCCACTGCAACCAGAGCAGAACATATTACCCACCGTTAAACACCATGATCAGACGTGGACCAGATATGTTACAGACAACCATCATTATCAGAGAGTTTTAGAAAACTGAAATGTATCCAAATGAATGATACAGTAGCATCAGGTCCAAAACCTCAAGCAAACTGTAGGCCTAACCTCTGGGTTGAGCAGGTGGGTGTGAACCACGGCCCGTTTGATGTCATACAGGTCAGTGTAGTGCTCCAGAGCTCTCTGCAGCAGACCTGCCTTCTCACACAGCTGAGCCACATGGGCCCGGTCATAGTGAGTGAACATCTGGTTCCCTAAGATGGCATCTGCCACCTGAATAAGAAAATATAAATGACAAAAAACATGTTGTGATACAAAGCTTCGCACAAATATGCAAGTAAGCGAGGTGTGCGTTGCTGCTGTTTGTAGTGAGCACCTGTGGGGCATGCATCAAGTTCATCTCCAACAGACGAGTCTGCAAAGGACTTTCGGTGGGGCGGTTGTTCTTCAGGGCATCCAACAGGAAAGAAGTGCACTGCTGGATCAGGTTATACTCCATAAACACATCCACAATCTGTAGGATTAAAAAAAATCTTTTAGTAAATAAAAGAAATACAGGGCTCCAAACTGCTGCTAAATTGCACCATTTTGCTAATGTTTTTTCCTGCCGTTGCAACTGAATTGTTAGAGGTCGCAATATTGCACATGTTATTTTAAATGAAAATAAATGTATATCTGCATACAACTCAAGCTACTGCTACTATCAACTCAAGCTCAAGCAAATGCTACTGTCAACTCAAGCTACTTTCATTTCTGAGACACTAAACATGCAACATTATTAATATTGCATGTGCGGTGCTTCCAAATTAGGTGCTGGTGCCATCATCTGTAGAAACTTGATGGCAATGGTGCCACTGCTCTTAAATGTTACACTGGAGCCTTGAAATATCTTTTTATTTGTCTTCACGTTACGTAATTAAATACAGTCATAATTACAAAAATTATAAAATAAAATAAATACAAAATATACATCAGATGAAATATAATATGCTCTTAGACCTGAGTGATGTCAGCCAGAGGTTCCTCATCTTGAACGAGCATTTGGGAGAACTGCAGGCCTTGTTCTGGACTGATCCGCATGACGTTCCTCAACAGGAAGATCCAGTCTGGAGTGTAGCCAACCTGCACACAGATGGCCACGCATTAGACGTGAGAGCTCAAATTTGAAATCTCTCACACAAATAAAGCTGTTTATGGACCAGTGTAAAATATATTGCCAGGAAACAGATTTAAACTCACCTTTTTTGCATACAGTACAATTTTCTGGAACTGCCCGGTCTCTGCAAAACACTGGATCACTTTGTTGGGAACATTGGCTCTGAGATAAACGCTAAGAGCAAGAGTTGGATCCACAGACTTCACCAAATCACCCAATTCTTCAGAACACTCCAGCTGCAAAAAGCGAAAGCAGCAAGTTTTTATCCCAAAATCAATGACATTAGATATCAGGGGGTTTGAGAAATTAATTTCCTTGACCCTTTAGGTTGTTTTTGATAAAACCGATTTTTAAAAATCATTTGGATTTAGACTGATTGAACCTGAATGTATCAGGAACTCGAGTACGGCCGTTGCCAGAAGCCAGTAATATATATAGTAATATATATATATATATATATGGGTATTACAAAAACCCATCACTTTACTTCAGAAGGCCTTTATTAACCCCCTGGAGCCGTATGGATTACTTTTATGATGGATGTATGGGCTTTTTGGAGTTTCAAAAACTCAGGCACTATTCACTCCCATTATAAAGCTTGGAAGAGCCATGATATTTTCTAATATAACTCTGATTGTGTTCAGATAAAAGAAGAAAGTCATATACACCTAGGATGGCTTGAGGGAGAATTTTTGGGTGAATTATTCCTTTAAGAGATACGTCTGTTTTGTCAGATACATTGTTTTGTATCTGCTTTTGATGTATTGATGCTTTGGTAATACCGCTTGTTTAACTATCATGCCAATAAAGTATTTACATTTTTTAATACGACTTTGGATCATCTATTATTGCTAAATTTTTATTTTCAGAGGAGCATGTACCTTGTCTTCCTTCAGCCATTTCTCCAGGAGCTGTTTGCGGCCTTGCTGCAGGACGGGCCTGCAAAGCTCCAATGACTCAAATTTGTTCAGCTGGCCTTGGTCCAGCAGAATCCCAAAGTACTGCAGCAGGGGAGAAGTCTGACCAGGCTGGGCAGGAACACTCTGGAACCGACGGATGGTGTCTGGGGTGCGCAGAATCCCCTGCAAGAACCCAACAGCCAATCAGAAACCTCAATATTTGCCCGACAAAGACTAATGAAGCATCTGGTAGTGTGATGCAGTCTGCTGTACCTTTGGCGCATTGGCAGCAACTTTGGCAGCTTCAGAGTAGCTGCCACTAGCAAACAGGTTGTTGAATTTTCGAGCGAAGAGCTCCTCGGCACCTGCCAGATTGTTGCGGACGGCCATCCTGAGGGCTAGATCAGGGTTCTGCAGCACGTTAGTGATGTAAGGGATGATGTTTTCCTCCTCCACGCACACAGACAGTACCTGATAAACAGCAGACGACGAACATAATGTGTCAGACACTGACAGTGTCAGTCAATTTAAAAATTATTTATTCTCTATTTTAATATATTTTAAAATGTATCTATTTCAGGGAGAAAACCCGAAAGATTGGTGATGGGGGAAGAATCATTTTTAGAAGAAATTGATCGTTTAACTTTTTTTGTAATAATAATTTAAAAGGCTTCATCAATGACATTCTTATTTATGCATTAACTGAACACCCATAATATACGGCCACAAGCAATTGCTGAGCTACCTTTCTGTATATTACGTGTCTTTTCTGAATCAGTAATGTTTGTTGTGAAGTTTGTTTGGCTTTTTGAGATAAACAAATCCCTGTGTGCCAAGACCAGCCCAAACCTCTGTTGCATTACCACATTAGTTCTAATGCTGGCTAATCTCTATTTATAAGCACCTAATTATGCACTGATTGGCTCCAAATGATGCTGATCTGGACCCATAAGCATCTAAAGCGACCCTCAGGGTAAGATGACTGGGCCGGTATCCCATTATGCACTTATTTAAGTCTGCAGCAAAACCTGTGACAGAGCTGAAGCGGGCATCAGTCAGCGACCGAAGCCGAGCGAACACATCGCAGACTCGGTAAGAGGATTACAGCGGCTGTCTCTACCTCTTGCTGAGTGTCACATGCTGTTCTCTCACTGTACGTGTCAAGGGATCAACGAACACTGTTATTTACAGGGACTCCTTCATAGCATCCTAATGCATTATGGACTGCATGCACACAAAGACTTAGGATGTAATAGGGTGATATAGGTCATGTAGATTTAAAAAACAACAAAGACAAAAATATTTTTGCTATTTTTAGACAATATTTGCATTTTCCAGGCTTGGATAACAAAATTCATATCCATAACCATGTAATTTTATCTATCTATATACTGTACAGTATATTCAATATATCAACCAATCCTAGTTTGTACTGACAGTCTTGTGGTTTGACCAGGGAGGTTTCTCTAATGAGGAGGCGAAAACAAACGGAAGAATAACAATGAGCAGGGATCACATTTCTACGCTCTCTCTGCATATTTAATGTGACTTGGGTCTGAGCTCCAAAATAATTCATCAACTGATGGCATCCTGTTACAGTAGATTACAGAACACAAGCTAGTCTGTTTGCACATGTAGAAGGCAGCTCAAACCAGGACCAACGATATGGAAACAAACCTCTGGTGTGTGTCTGGAACAAGCTCAGCTGGTCCATTCAAATGTGCTGACTAAACAACCCTTAACGTTCAAGCTAGAAACAAAGCCAATGCACCACTTTTGTCTTACTGTCCACAACAGCAGATAAAGTAGTCGGTACCTGTCCCTTCCGGTTCACGCCAATTATTCCAGATGTGGCTTCATGGGGGGCGGTGACAAAAATGGTTTCTCCACTGATCCTGTTCATGTAGATGCAGGTACCCGTCTCAAGGTCATACAAGTGGATGTAGCCATATTTGGTGATGAGAAAGACTACATCATGCTTGGAGCTTATCTAGAATAAGACAAGACACGAGTGAGTCTCCAAAACTAAAAATGAGTTACTGTAACACACGTATATAAATGGGTTGTAGTTCTGTTGGTAATAGAAATTGTGTGGTTTAACTTAACTGCCCCAATAGACAAATGTGAATAATATATTTATTAAATATTTTAAAATATGTATACCTGCATGGCAACTGGAAAATCATTCTGAGCCTCTGGAGGGAAAAATACATCGACTGCTTTCTTTGGAAAAGGTTGATTCCCAGTCGGAGGTGTTCCAACCTCAATAATGTGCAACTACGGGGAGGGAAAACACAAGAGTGGCATTACATTTACAGTCATTTAAAACATAATTAGCGTTACTTCAACATTGACGTTCATTATGAAGAATAACCAGACCTTTCCTCCAGCTTGTCCCCGAACAGCAAAGCAGAAAAGTGTGGATTCCTCAGCATTTCCCTCCATTTTAAACTGAGCAAATCCAGCAGCATGGCCTTCGATTGGCTGCGACACCTTTCTGTCCACTGAGTAAAGTTGCATTGCGCCCACAACACGGTTTTGCTGACAGGAAATTTTGTTTTTTTTAAACGACAGGAAAACGACAACCACATTGACATGCAGGTTACTGCGCATGGACAAGACCATTTGAATCCACAAAATATTTCGTTATTTTACCTGTGCTGAAATTCCAATCAAAAGTAGCCATTTTTGTTTGGCGTCAGTGCGGTAGTTAATAATTTGACAGCCTGCTAAACTGGAATGTCGGTCAAAGACTTTGATAGGCTGTGAGTCTCCTTCCATACTCCAGTGATAGACCGCATTGTCTGTCACAAGTGCTACGGTATTGAGAGAGATCCACTTCCAAAATGTAACATCCTCGGTCATGGTGTGGGCCTTCATCTTGCTCTTCATTTCAATGTTGAAAATCTGAAGGGTTTTTGCCGCTGCAATTCAGGAACAGAGGTCATTTGAATAAAACAGCAATATTTTTTTCGAGATTATAAATGGTGTGATTTAAATTAGTCAACATACAGACATCCAGCTTAATGCTAATAACATGATGTGTATGCTAAATTGTAATTGTGAAGTAAAGACAAATATGGAAAACATGACAAAGCGGTCACAATGCAAAAGGAACAACTATCAAACACCGCAAACATTTACAAACATCAAGCCGAGTTTTTTTGATCTGCCCTTAGTTTGACTATTTTAGTGATATTCTAAACCTAGTACGCTTATTAATTAGTAAACAACTCTGTCTCTACTCTAAAAATGCGATGCAGATTGTTTGAAGGGAAAAACTCAAAACCATAATGTTATTCCCATCTGCAATAACATGAATCATCACCTTACCTCAAGTATGTGGGAATACAATTTGTTAAACATGTAAAAACATGTTTAAAAACTTTCTCTCCTAAAATGTGGACCACAATTGGCTAAATCTGTAGATCTGGATTATACTTTTTATCGAGATACAGTGGCCCCAAAAATATTAGGACACTTAAAAGCCACACTTAATGTATAAATCTCACTGCAAAAAAATATTAACATATCAAAGTGCCATATTTATTTTAAAGAAGAAAAAAAATAATCAAAACAAATAATTTGATGTAATACAAATTAAGACAAAAAGTATGTGGACACTTTTTGGTTGTCAAATGTAAAATGTTTACACCTGGTCATTTCCGATCATGAAAAGAAATTTTACTCCTCCCAAAATGTTAAAAGATAAACATGTCATATAGCCTATAACACGCTCTCACATGTTATAGCCAGATATGACAGCGCTACTGCAACACGCAACGCTGCAGATGAGTAGCTGAGTATCTCTTCAGCAAGCCGACGCGCAAACTGCCGCAAATGAAACTGAAAGGAAGTCCCAGATGTTCAACACACAATCATCTTCATTAAAAGTAGTGAGACTTAATGATCTTACCAGTGCTGATGCCGCTCTCTCCTATTGCGGTCTTTGATCTTGAAATTAGCTGATGATAAATAAAATGCAGCGCTTATCTGTGGTTTTCGTTGACGTGAACTCCGTTAAATTTTGCATGCAACGCGCCGGAAACTAAAGATGGATTTATATTCGGTTTGCGAAGACACATTTATGTGGCCAAGTGTAAATGGAACTGTTTTAACAAATCAGATAGCTATCCGATCAGTAGAAACGCATGAAGCTAGCAGGTTTAGCAGGCCCTTAGATATTTTAAGTGTCCAAATATTTTTGGGGTCACTGTATATTTTATCTAATTTTTGTGAACCATTCTTAGTTATTTTTATTTTATTTTATTTTTTAAAACATATGGCCTGGTAAGCAAGTATGTCATAAGGGGGGACACATTACTGTGAAATAAATGTATGCCTATATTATATAAACTCAAAGCTAAAGTTAAATTTCTGTGCTCAGTGGGATATCTATTTATACACACACACTACAGTTCAAAAGTATCTTATATTCACAAAGGCTGCATTTATTTGATCACAAATACAGTAAAACAGCAATATTGTGAAATAATACATTTTAAAAGGAACTGTTTTCTATTTTAATATATTTTAAAATGTAATGTATCTGTGATGCAAAGCTGAATTTTCAGCATCATTACTCTAATCTTCAGTGTCACATGATCCTTCAGAAATCGTTCTAATATGCTGATTTGCTGCTCAAGAAACATTTCATATTATTATCGATGTTGAAATTAGTTGTGCTCCTTAATATTTTTGTGGAAATTGTGACACTTTTTCCAGGATTCTTTGATGAATAAAAAAAAATATCAAAGGAACAGCATTTTTTTTAAATAGAAATAGTTTGTAACCTTATGTCTTTACTGTCACTTTTGACCAATTTAATGCATTCTTGCTGAATGCAAGTGTTTATTTCTTTTTTTAAATCATACTGACCCCAAACGTTTGAACAGTAGTGTATACGTTATAGCCTCTGATTGCTATACACAAGATTTCCAAAATCATTATAATAATTAAATACAAATCAGAACTCCAACTATAAGACAATCTTACAGTATTCAGTATTTATTGTGATCTTGCTATTTTCAAGGTCATAATCCACTTCTCATTCTTACAGTTGACTTGCAGAGTTATATATATCTAGAAAGTTGGCTTGCACATCTATCACTTTACAGACATAGTAGACCTTTGCATTGCATTAACAGTAGACTGACAAGTGCCAAAACAAAAATAAAATTAAAGGGCTCAGCTGACTATTGTTTCAACTAACAACAACAAACTAGATTTAATTTTATGCTAAACAAGAGGAAAACAGGCGGTTGCCAAGTTACATGCATGTTACATGACCCCGACCCCCTACTAATATGGCTAACCTATCATTCAACATCAAATGCATTCAGATTGCCACACATTTCACAATTCAAAATCCCACAACTCAGGATAGATGAAATTGAACTCACCGTCTGCAAACATAAGAAAGCAGTAAGAAACAAAAAAATAAAAAAAAGAACAAAAACAAGCAAGAACAGACAAAGCATTTATGACGGAAAAACATTTCCAATGAGCATTTTAAAGGCTATTCTTAACCAAAAGATTACAACAAGTTTTAATTTGTAACAAGACAGATGGCTGAGAATATGAATATATTTGTTGCAAATATGGAGGGTATTTTACGATAACCATGTCATTTGACGAGACAAAAGTAATACACTATGTTACACTAAACTGTCTCGATGAGAAACACAGTAAGCCAAAAGGTGTAGTCATGCTATTCATTCAGTGGGTGGGAGGGGGTTGCAGAAAAAGAACCACATGGAAATTTCTATATCATTCCAAAAATTATCATTACATTTCAAAAATCCATGCCTTAACGTGTCCCCCCACTGTTCAAGCCCCCCTGTGTCTTACCTTTAAGAGCAATGACTTTGCTGGCTGGGTTCATGATGGCACTATCTGCAGAGATGGGCCTGCGGATGGGAGTGTTGGGATCGCTCATGTCAATGATCACAACCTGGGCCTGTTCGCCCACCTTTTCCCGGATGCAGATGAACTTATCTGACTCCATCGTAAGGGTGCTAAACCCAATATTTGCTGGGTTTATGCCCAGGTTCTGGAGCTGTAAAGAGTGGACATACAATATGTATCAATGTTAGATACAGCACTAGTATTGTCTACTATACATGAGATTTGGAAGTCTTTATAAACAAAGGGTGTCTCTCAAAACCTAGTGAACTGCATAGACTGCACTTTTTGGTACTAAAATGCATCAAAATGCTGTCTAGCTATATTCTTTATTTTTAATACACAGCCTGGAGGTCTTAAATGTGTCTGCTGCAAGTTTGTTTCAATGTTTATGGGGGATAAAAAAGGATATATGGGCACAATCTCACAAGCCCCATCAGACATTTACCCCCACTGAGATGCACCTGTGCAATGACACAATACACTGTAATGACTCGAGTCAAGCCAGTTAAGCAACAGATATCCATGAATGACATGACGTGCATATTTTTGTGTCCAAGTGCATTATTTCCTTTTAAAATAATTTGACAAATTCATGACATAGCCTATATCACTTTATTCAATAAAACCGATTTAGTTTTAATTCATTTTTAGTACATTTAAATAATGCATATTATTTGATGTATTGTTATGTTAAACCCCCAAAATGTCAGGTGACGCAACTGTCTGAAAACTTTAACAGACTAAGAAAACTATTTAAAATGGTGTCTTAATAATAAAAAATGTTGAGATAACGGTAAAACTTTTGTCCAGCAATTTGTATGTCAGGGTGGCACAACAGCAAACATGGCTCTATTATTATGAATTGACAAGGTAATAACAGTAAACGAGATGATGCATCACCCAACTGATCCTTGTGGCAGAGTGGAAAGGTTTGCAGATATCTCTCAAATACTGGTAAAAATGGCTAATTTCAAGTATGAGTAGGTTGGTACATTTTCCATGTTAGGTGGTACAACTGCAGTATATACATACAACTATTTGGTTGTACCACCTGACATAAAAACAGGCAAAAATTTATTTAAACAGAAACACTTATACACGCTAATTATCAACTGAAATTTACATTACATCAGTTTTTGAAAAGATATTTTTTAAAGCTTTATTTGTCAATGACTCTTTAAATATATACATCAATATTGATAAACACCAACTATATACACTATCCGATAGGTTTGTTTATTTTAAGGGACAGTTTACTATGGAGAGTGCCTAATTTATATATCCAAACGAATAGATATTGAACCGAAATAAGATCTTCTTGAGAATCAGAATCGATTCGGTAAATCTGTGCCAATACCCAGCCATATTTGCGTCTAATTTTACGTCAATTTCACCAAACGTCTTATATATGGGTTTTTAAAGGTAAAAACACGATGAGAGATTTTTCATTTTCGGGTTAACTATCGTCAATAAACAGACATGCAACCGAAATGTTTTTGAGCGGTAAATGTGGACAATCCGAGTCACGTTTTATTCAACCGACAAAATAAATCACAGCATGTATGCAGCTTTATAAAGCTGGTTTAGCTAATCCTTTCACCGATCACTGAATCCACCTGCATAGGCTGTGTCAAAAAACCTAGTGACCTGCCCATCCAGACTGCATATTTTGAGTAACGTTACCATATAAACTCGTTCGAGTTGAACATTAGTATTGTCGGGGTCTCAATTGCGGCTTCGAACTTTTGATTCGAACACAGTATTATTATAATCACAGGCGCATTCGAAGATGTTGATCAGCAGCTCGCGAGCTTTGAGACACAGCCATTGAAATGGATGGGAGGTCATTCATTGAGCTAGCGCTAAAGCTAACTAGCACTGTCACCTCTGTTACAGCAGAGCCACTGATTATTAAAATGTTAATGTTTAGCTGTAGTGAAACCCCACCTGCAGGTGCTCCTGGAAGCGGATAGGAAGGATCTGAGCCATGGTTTGGGCTTTCTGTTCTCAATCCTCCCGGCCGGACTCCTCGCAAAAATTCTCCCTAGCTTTAGCGAGCGACGACCTCCTCTCCGCTGACACCCTCGATTCAAAACAGATCAAATGCAGGACTGGTGGTTATATCAAACAGAGAATGCAAGTGTCGTATTTTCGTCGTGTCAAGCCAATCCGCCAGATGGTTGATGTTTTTTCTCCCCTCTCTGCACGGATGGGACTCGCTCAGACCCGCAATGGCGGCGGAAACAGCTCAGACTGACAATCCGGAAGCAGCAGCGCGGACGTTGCGGCGGAAGGACATTCGCGATTTCAGAGATTTTGTTAATCAAGCGGGCGGTGAATGAAGCACTGATTTGGTGTATGTAAGCGTTTGGACACTTAATATTTTAGATATGATTTATAAGCTACGGTATGAGTAGTCTAGTAAATTTTAAATAATTCGTTTCATTTTTGCCACATCATTCAGTTCTTCATATTTTAAGTACGTCAGTTCCGGCTGCGCTCTAGTGGTAAGTTAGTGCGTTCGTGAACGAATCGTTGTTTTTAAATGAATCTATTAAGTGAATGAATCCTTCACTGAATCGTTTTCTGAGTATCGCAGGTATTTAATTTTTAAAGCGGGTTGTGACCATTGACTGTTAAAAAAAAAAAAGTTGTGACTTGCAATACAGCCTTCAAGTGGTCCTGAGAAACACATTTCTTCCGAGTTTGTCGTACGTTATTACAACTAAGTCACCCTCTAAAGTCGGAAACAAAACATAAAAGTAGTCTAAACAAACCAAAGAATGTGAACAATAAACGCAAATAACTGCACCTGAATTCAAAATGATGAAAAATATACATTTCTATCATTTATTTAAACATCATATTACATCTTAATGTTTTTGTTACATAAAGCAAACTGTCAAAGTTAAGTATTCTCTGTACATCATTCGCTACAGATTTGATTTCTTCTGACTGATCTGATCTGATAAATTACCTAAAACATATCTTAGATCAGTGTTTCCTCCATGTCACATGATCGACACACCCCTTTCAATGTCACAAATTGAAACCTAAAACGATTCGGGTCATTGGGACGAATCAAAAATTTCTCTTTTTTGTGCTTTAAAATCTTTAGTCTGCATTCTAAAGATGTAATAAAATAACACCCAATATCAAAAAGTATTTTTTTTTTTAAAAAAACATTTATTTATGTAAAAGTTTTAAAATATGTTTATTACACATTGTGACTGAAAAGCCATATCAAAATCCACAGGACCAGAGTGCTGTGGCAGGATTATGTTCTGAAATCTGAGATTAAAAAGTCTTTCATATATTCAGCGGCTTCAGAATCTGTGGTGAAAATATGATCCTCTCATGTACCCTTTCTTTGTAGCCGATGCTGTTTTCGCTCCAAGTAGCGAGCTCGAGCATCTGTGATTGAGCTTTCATCATTCCTCTTTTCCAGCTTCTTTGCCGCATCCTCTGTGGCCTCTATTTAAACAACAAAAAAAATTGTAATATAAACAAATATATATTACAAGCAAAATGTAGCTCAGCCTTTTCAAACGCACCTGCTTGTCTTTTTGCTGCTTCTTTCTTTTCCCATTGGACCATCTCTTCATCCGTTACTTCTTCCCTTGCGACACTACTCAGCTCATAGACGTCGATTTCATGCAGCTTCGGCAACAGGTCCTTCACCCACTCGTAACGGATGGGGCAAACTGTTCTCACGTACACCCGTGAGGTGACCAACACGTCATGGAAGATGATCCAGTCCAGCTGCAATTCTTGACCAAAGAGCTGAATACAAGAAGTTAAAGTGGTGTGGTTAAAATAATCACACACAAATGTAAACAAGCTTAGAAATGACATGATTGTGAGTAAATAATGACTTTTTAAATGAGAGTAAATGAGAATTTTCATTTTTGGATGAACTTTTGGATGGATTTAATTCCTTACACATGATGAAGGGTGAATAACAACGCTGGACCCATGTCCGTCCATGGTGCAGAATGATTTCCCAACAGATCTGAGGAAAACAGAACAGCTTTAATACTGCCTTTAATAAATACATTTTATGTAATAAAATGACAGTGTGGTGCTCACCGCCTGGCTACATTGGTGAAATAACCCAGGCAAAGGCACTGGCGCAGCAGTTCATTCCTACTGCCCTCAAACGTCTCATGTGGAAAGTCTTTCTGCTACATAAAAGAACAAGTCGTAAGAATTCAAATAACGAAAGTAAAAGCAATTACTGTTGTAGAGAAAATCTGATTTACCTGCTTCAGGCGTTGAAGAATCTCGCTCAGCTGTGTCTCAACGCTGAAGGCTGACTTCACTGCTCGCCAATGGATCCAGTGCTCTTTGCACCAGCCGGATGGATGGTCGCTATTAGAAGAACCAAAATAAGAATGAATACCAGCATGTCACATGATTTTCATAGAGTTCTGGATTTATTTAGTCATTCGTTCAAACTTCATGGTCTACCTTGCTCTGCACTTCTCAAAGACACAGAGCAGCATGAGGAAATCATTGGAGCCACCAACAGAAGCTGCTATCTCTTTGTGTCGAATCTCTGCTTCTTTTTGTCCTTCTGGTTTACCTAAAAAAAAAAAAAAAATGGAATTATCTAATGTATTAGGTGGTATTAGATTTAATGGGACAGGATATTTAATTTTACTGTAAAATATTATTAGTATTGGGGGGAAAGTATGAAATACAATATAACTATAATATAAACAGAAAAAAATATATATATTATATATATATATATATATAGAGAGAGAGAGAGAGAGAGAGAGAGAGAGGGAGAGAGAGAGAGAGAGAGAGAGACTACAATACATTATAATATCGTGATGCCTAATTTTACTTGTAGCATTTAATTTGTCTTTCGTTTTTTTCATTTATTTAGACAAATAGTAGAAGATTTTAATATGGGCCATTTATTGGTTTTCTGCCATAATATGAAATAAATTAGTCTGTATCAGTGCTATGCTTTTTCAGATATTAATGTTAATTTGTTTTCGACACTCGATGACCAATCACAACAGACTGGCCCATCTGACCAATCAGAACAGAGTAGATATCAGAAGATTTCAGACACTGTGAGAAAATAAGTGATGATGCCATGTATACAATGAGAAAATTTAAGTCTCGGCTGGATGTAAACCTATTGTAGGAGACCTCCAAAACAAAATTAGGAGCCTTCAAAATAGAATAATAAGTGCTCAGTTGACCAGATTATGTGACATGGAATAACTACTTATAACTCACAATCACAATCGAGATAAAACATTTTGATTAAACACTATAGGAGATTAAATTAAAATCTAAAACATGAATTTTCAGTGACAAACATTAATGATAACATACAGGAACTATTACCTGGTCGAATGAAGATGTTCTCTACTGACAGCATGGCGGCCACGGGCAGCATTATGTCCTCACACCCAAGAGCAGCAGCTTTGAGTAGAGCACGAGTAAGATTAGGAGGAAGAGGGAACTCCACCATTAACCTCCCCAGTCTGGTCACGTGACCTCTCCTGTCACAAAAAAGCTGATTTTAGCATTGTATTTAATTCGGATTACAGAACTGACACACATTGAACAAAAAACAGTGTGTGCCTTTATTGACATGTCATGTGAATATCAGCCGTACTGGGGTTAAGATGGGCTTCTGGAAAAAATGCTGAAGACAATTTCTAGAGTCTCAACGGTTTCTTGCAATGTACTTGTATAACAGGTAATAGTTTGTGGGAGAATATCACTTCACCTGTCAATGGCATCATACTGATACAGCTGCTTCAGAGCGGTCAGGATAAATCGTTCCTCTGGACAGTCAAGATAAGGAAATCTAAAATTAAAAAAGAAAAAAAGAAAAGTGTTAATTTCAATTCGAAGAAAACCGATTAAACTATACAAAAATAACAATGCAGCCCGGTGTTACCTAATCACATCATGGACACCGAGACATTTCAGTGTGAGAATGACAGATGTAAGACTGGTCCGTTGAATCTCTGGAATGGTGTAGTCTGGCATGCATTTGTCCCAAAAGTCTTTACTGTAAATCCTGAAGCATTTTCCTGCAGATGTTCGTCCAGCCCTGCCCGCTCTCTGCTGAGCCTCGCTTCTGTGTGGAAACATTATCAGAACAGAATAAAAGTGGAACCAAACGGAACGGTTTTTCATTATTTGGACAAACTAGTCAATACCCCCACTAAACAGCTTTTTACAAGTAGCATAACCCAGGCACTCACTTAGAAATTAATGAATTAATTTAATTTATTCATTCATAATATAAGCATCAAAAGCTATATTAATAGTAAAAATATAATGAAACAATTATACTGATAATAAAAGATAATAAAATGAATAAGCAATTAAAAATAACTTTTTAAAAACCGTAATTAAAAAATCTAAATTGTAGAATTTCTTTCCATGACACATACTTTGAAATTGGTACCACTTCCAAAATATCCAATCCAACTCTTGAGTTGTGGTTTAGTTGTTTCACAAAACCACTGTCAACGATATATCTATAACACAACATTAAAAAAAAAAAAGTTTTTTAGTTGTGCAATATTTCCTCAAAACACAATCATGCCATTTTTTATTTCTGCTGCTTTATTATTGGAGTAACTTATGCTTGCGTAATAACTATGAGATTTTGTTTCTACCCGATTCCATCAATTGTGAGTGAAGTTGCAGCAATATTCGTCGCTACCACACACTTTCTCACACCTTTTGGCGCAGGCTGAAATATTTGCCTTTGTTGATCTGTAAAAAAAAACACATAAATTGATCAATACATGTTTTGTTATATTTTATGATTATACACAAAATTTCACTCTATTTTGGCTTTGAGACAAATCTTAAGACAGGCTAACCTGTTGGCATGGATCCATACAAAGGTAGGATGAGAAGGCCTTCAACAGTTTGGTCATGGACATCGTAACGGTAGTCTAAGATCTCAGCCTTCTCAAAAAGCAAGTCACAGGCTTTCTCAATTTCAAACTGTCCTGTTCAAAAACACAAGCACAGAGCTACAAACTAAAGACAAATATTGAAAATATCAAATAAAGGTATTCTAACCATTGAAAATCTGCAAAACTCTTAAATACTGTACACTCCCATTAAAAATTTTGAGGTGGGTAAGATGTTTTTGAAAGAAGTCTCTTAAGGGCACAATATACATGGCAAAGTTATTTTTCGTTCTTTGCTTTGAGGTGAAAAGGAGTTAAAAATATGTGCGCAGTGGTAAACTGTTCGGGAACATCCCGACGCCTCCCACACTGATGAGACCGACGTTTAGAGGAATATGTTAACGTGTTCCGCGTTTTCCTTTCAACAAAATAAACGCACAACAAAAATGACAGCAGTGAAAGAAAACAGAAGTTAAGAAAGAATCTTATCAAAGTGATGAGGATGTTTGCACGATCTCTGCAATTCGGCATTTCAGTAAATTCACTTCACTTTATAAAATATAATGTTTAAAAGCAAGCAGCTTTATAGTATTAAACATAAAATAAAAAAACAGCATCAGTACTTTTTCAATTAGAATGACTTCATTTTCTACTATAAATCAGCTCTCTAGTTTGTTCTTGTTTTTGCCAGCCGGAGTGAACTTTTCCGGAAAGTTCGTTTAAGGAAGCTGTTTCCAAGTCCCAAAACAAACCCAAAATAAACTTCATGATTATGTTTGAAATGACGTTGCACCAGTTCTTTGATTTCGATTCTGGTATATCTGGGTCTTTATGCTCACCACGGCTGCATTTATTTGATCAAAAATACAGTAAAAACAATAGGCTAATATTGTGAAATATTTTTACATTTAACTCCATTTAAATATATTTTAAAATGTCATTTATTCCTGTGATGCAAAGCTGGATTTCTGGAGCATCATTACTCCAGTCTTCAGTGTCACATGATCCTTCAGAAATCATTCTAATATGCTGATTTTCTGCTCAGGAAACATTTATTATTATTATCCATGTTGAAAACATTTGTGCTGCTTAATATTTTTGTGGAAACCGTGTTATATATGTTTTTCAGGATTCTTTGATGAATTGAAAGTTAGAAAAAACAGCTTTTTTGAAAAAGAAACCCAAAACATTTGAACAACAGTGTACATCTCTGCTGAGCTTACCAGTTAGGAAGACCAAAATATCACCAGCTGCTTCATTTGTGTGCACATCTAAAGCCACCTTTACCACCTATGGATCACAAACAGAACACATTTACAGTTTGTGAAGGTTCTAGTGTTTCAAACATAAAGTTTCCCTGCAACCACACTATTTGTAATCAAGTTTGTAGTAATGTATATGGTCACAACACACCTCTTTGACATAGAGAGAACTATCTTTGTCTTTTGGACCAATCAGATTACAGAATTTCTCCTTCACCGGATATGTACGCCCAGGAATCGTGAATACGGGACAGTGTCCGTAAAAAGAGCTGAGCTTTTCCGTTTCTAATGTTGCTGACATCACCACCACTTTGAGGGGTGTTTTGCGGCCATGGGACCCTTTTGACAGGGTCTTCTTGAGTAACCCAAGCAAAACATCCTGAAAAACAAACAATTTTGTTAAAGATTTAGTGAAATATCTTCTGCATTTTATGAAGCTGCAACTAGCAATAAAACCAAAGTACCACAGTATTACCTAGGTTTATTTATATATATTAGGGCTGTCAAATGATTAATCACATCCAAAATAAAAGGTTTTTTTACATAATATATGTGGGTGCACTGTGTATAATTATTTTGTATATATATATATATAAATACACACACATGCATGTATATTTAAGAAAAAAATATTATTTATATATAAAATATTTATATTTATATATAATATAAATTATATATAAATCTATATACAGTATATACATAATAATATTTCTTAAATATATACAAGCATGTGTGTGTATTTATATATATAAAATAATTATACACAGTGCACCCACATATATTATGTAAAAAAAACTTTTATTTTGGATGTGATTAATCACGATTAATCATTTGACAGCCCTAATATATATATATATATATATATATATATATTGTATTATGGTAATGCCATAGTATTATATTAAAAACATTGGACCATGTTATTACAATCTGACACAATCAATGTACCATGGTACCACTGCAGTGCTTTTTTTGTAAGTGGAAACTATAAAAAAGACCACTATACAAAAAAACACTTCCGACGATTGTACTTATTTCACAAGTAAAAGCACAAATTGCACATATAAAGTCCACATACTGTATTCAGACTCCTCTCATGGGCTTCATCCAGGATCACAATGCTGTAGTGTGTTAAACTGGGGTCTGCAAGAATCTCCCTCAGCATACAGCCATCTGTCATGTATTTAACCACAGTGTCCTGATAGAAAGAAAAATACCAACTCATTAAAAATTACACCAACTGCCCATACCTTGTTGGTAGAGGCTATTTTCACAAACCAAGACCATGTACTCTAATAAATACAAATACTATATTATTTCAATTTACTTTGTGTGAAAAGCATTTATCACTTTAAAGATATTTCTTGCTACCTTAAAGGCACACTGTGGAACTTTTCAACCTTTATAATATATTACAAAAACCCATTGAGATGGTACATCGACTTACAATAGGTTGAATGACACGTCTGCCGCAGCCTGAAGGTGTCTGTATCGCTTTTCCTAGCACTATGTAACTTCGGGTTTCGGGTAGGAACCCGAGCACAAAAAGAACTACAAAATTCGACCGCTTTACGGCATACGTCACTTCCCCCACCACCCACAACTTCCTCAGATTCTGACGTGAGTGCTCAACTCGCGTTTGATTGCCGTCTGTATGTTTTCGTCATGGCCGAACCAACAGCTACAAGGAAGAAGGCAAAGGTTTTGTCAGAGGACACTAAAAAAAAGAAAAAGGCATAGTGACAAATGAAAAGCCAGGACGAGGATCACCATTGGTCCAGCGTTCGCTCGCTGGCGTGAGCTACAGGAGGAGGAGGGGTGTCCGACCGATGCTGACGCTTGCCTGCACACAAATGCCGTTTCCAAGGTGACCCAGATAAATCATATAAGCAGTGTAGTAGTTTCTGGTATTCCGGCCACAGCCGATGGTGTTATGAGTGTAATAAAATGCCCACAGCCCATTGTTCATTTCTACACACAAACACAGCCCGCCACAGTGCAGGGCTCGCACAAATAAAGTCGACTCATGTCAAATGTACATTAAATGTAGTGAACGTGCCCACAAACACTACACACAACATGTCCCACGGTTTCTGTAAAACGAAACCAACACACATAAGTTATAGTCAGCTCAGGCCGACGGTGTTTTTAGTGCAGTAAATGTGCCCGCCGTCCCGCGCCCACATTCACTCACAGACATGTTAGCACTAAGCCCCACGGGGCTCGCCCATAGACAGTATAAGGCTCGCCCCGCTCGCTCTCTCTCAGCAGACTGCTATGAGGGAATCGAGCGCGGCAAGGCTGCCCGCCTCAAACACTACAAGCACACACAATCTAAAGACACGGGAGGCTGACCGGTTGACTGTTTGTTGACTTTTGCGACAGTGCTGCGGCGCTTGTGGCCTCTAGGGACGCTAGACGTGAAAGTTACAGGTCGAGCGCCACTAGTGGCCAAAAGTTCCGCGGTGTGCCTTTAAAGAGCAGCTACTGCCTAAAAATCATCAAATGTGTAATTCATTATCTTGGGGGAGTAAGAAATAAAAACAGATAAAATAAATTAACATGTTTGTTCCATTAAAGTTTTTTTTTTTTAAAGTTCCAGACTGTGAAAAAGATTATTTAATAAAATATTAAATATTTATAAAGCACTGTGGTAAAATATTTTTGTACTTCCTTGACACTATGCAGATTTTTTTTTTTTTAAATAAATCACAGCATCAATAACAAAGATATATATATATCCCCCAATATGAAATATAATGATATGCGTGATGTAAACTAACACTACCGTTTGAACGTTTGACTTTTTAGTAATAGAAAGTTCCAAAGAAGCATTTATTTGAAACAGAAATCTTTTGTAACAATTATTTTTGATCAATTTAATGCATCCTTGCTGAATAAAAAATGAATCACCTCCACCAAAAAAAAATCTTACTGACTCCAAACATTTGACCGGTAGTGTATATTGAGATTTCTGCATAGTGTTATCCGATTCATGTGTGATATAACACATAGTGGTGGTAACAGTGATAACATGTGCTTGTTATCTCCTACCTGTGTTGAGCAGTCATCAAAGCGCACTTGGTATCCCACCTCCTCACCCAGCCTGACCCCCAATTCATGAGACACCCTCTGGGCTACAGTGATGGCTGCAACCCTCCTGGGCTGAGTCACACCGATCCTGCCCTTCCTGCAAAGACCTGAACAGAAACAGAGGCATCCTGAAGAGGAACGATAGATCCAAAATCCACAGTAAATGAACGAACATGCACGTCCATTCCAGTTCATTAGCGGTCCAGAACATTCATAACTTACCTGCTTTGTACAAGTACTGAGGGAGTTGAGTTGTTTTTCCACTGCCAGTTTCTCCCGTTACGATCAGGAAGGCATTTTCCTTCACAGCCTGAATGAGTTTGTCTTTGTGCTGATAAATAGGCAGCTTTTTTGATTCGTGATGCTCCGTTTCACTGCTCTTCTCTGCTTTTGACATGTCTATTCGTTCACCTGCTATTTATCCAACGAAATATTGTTCCAGCTCTTGAAACGATTTTTATAAGCCCAGAAGAATATTAATAAGTCGTATTAATGGCGCAGAAGACCTTATTTCATCTTGTTTACAAGTTGTTAGTTGAGCGTTTGAACGGTTTGAAGAACTCATATCTGTTCTTACTCACAGCTAATGAAAACGCATTAGCGCCACCTGCTGCACAGGATGATGACTGAAGTTCGCTCTGTTCACTGAAGTTCTTCAAAGGTGTGTCCTCGACGAATCGACGATGTGTAAGTATGGAGTGCATCATATTATGTATGTGCAAAATAAATACAATAAAATATCAAATAAATAGAAATAAAATCGATAAGAATACTAAAGCACTTCACAACCATATGGTACTGTAGTGTAGCCTAGCCTTCTTGTAAAGGAATGCTAGATGTATAGCCTACATTTTGTTTGCAACACCAGGTTAGATGAAATTTGATTTATGATTTGAAAAGAGAGATATTTTTATGACTGATTATGTTCAGAAAACGAATGAGCTCAGTTAAGATATCCAACAGTGTATCTATTAGTCTAACAGGATGGAACATATTGCAACTCATAGAAATGTGAAGATCACTTTTTATGACAAACAATCCTCACCTATATGTTTTCTGAACAACTGATACTAAAATGCACCAACTGCTGTCTGTATTATGCAAAACAAGGGAGGTAGCAGGATAATATATTAGAAGCATTAGTTTTTCATCATGTCACAACATTGTTTTAATAAAATAAACGATTTCCATTAATCAATGTTAAACATCAGCATTTATTGAGATATTGAACTGTTTGCATTGATTGAAATGAACAATTAAACAGACTGAAACGAGGATTCTGTGGAACTGGATTATGTCATCTGACTTCTAATCACAGCAGTGTCCGTATATATTGGATTTTTAAACTGAAAATCTGCCAAAGAAAATCAAGAAAATGACAATTAAGATAGTTTAGTTTAAAAAAGTGCCATATAATACACCTTGTTTCATTCAAGTGACATTTTAAACCGAACAATGAACAATTACGTTTTTGTTTTTTCCGTTTTTTACCAGCATTGCCTGGAATGGAGAGCTCTTCCTGGTTGACTGAAATATTTCAAACAGATATTTGGGTTATTTCCATTCTTAGCACATATATAGCTAATCTGTTTTTCCAAACACAAACATTGTCTTACCATAGTATGGTTTTGCATCTGAAGGATGACTTGCAGTTGGATCAGGAACGGCTCTAAAAGCTGTTTTTTGTTGTTGTTGTTTTTTTATTAGATTTGTATAACTGTATCTTAGATTTATCAAGTAATAATAAATAAATCGACAAGTCACCTCTCTGAGGATGTTGCCCCTGCTGCACAGCAGGACTTCGATTTGGAGCAGGTACATCATTTTCTTGACATGAAAAAATTGTTGATATCAATGAAAAAATACATTTATATCATTTTACCTAAAATCATAATGAAAAAATAAATCATTTGAAACAAACTTAAAAAAAAAGAAAGCTAATGTAATCTTACAGTTTGCACAAGTTTGTCACTAGTGAACGGTGAAAAGAAGAGAAACACACACCATAAACAGTTGTGAAACCCCGTCTCAGACCTTCAGAAATAGGATCAAGACAAACATGTTTATTAGTATTGGATTGTATTATATTTCTGTCCCCACCCCAGGCAGTGTTAAAACCCCAGTCTAGATAAACGAACATCAAGCCAAGTGGGAAACAAATTATGCTAGACCTTATCTCATAATGCAATGCCATTCATGGATTTTTAAGTGTATACCTTGTGTGTTGCAGAACCACTGGCTTGTAAGTAGAGCATTTAAGTGATGTTTCTTACCTCTGTTGTTTTTGTTTCTCTGCTCACTTCTTTCTGTATTCTGTGTTTCCTCGGGGGGGTTATTACCTAAGAGTCAATTGGTTTTCAAAAATGCCAATAAACTCCACAGAATGTCATTTACTGAACGTCTCTGCTCACCTTCACTCTGAACTCCATTACCAGGATTAGATTTGGATGATCTATTTGTGGGCTTTGCTGTCCAAAAGAAGAGAATACTTTTAAACAGAGCTGATATTGTAACATTAGTTTGTGTAAATACAAGAATTATAAGGAACCATTGCTCACCACAATATTTTGAAAACAGACTTAATCCAATAAAAAGGAGAATAAACAATCCAGCTCCAGCAGCAAAGTAGAACCAGGGATTTAACTCATCAGGTCTTCCTACATGGACAATTACAGCCTATTAGAGGATTTCAGCAAAATGCAAACAGTATGAAGTTCATGAAACACAAAATATAAGGGATTAAAAAAATCAAAGCATTGTTGTGGCCGGTAATTAATTACTTGTAAAAATGCAAACACTAAAAAAAATAAAATAATAAACATTTAAATTAATATTTTGATAAAATGCGCTTATTGTGTATATACATGTCTTTTAAATAGCTGCATGTAATTACAGCTGTAAATAATTTCTGTAATTACATAATTACACTGTTGATCCTTCCTTTACCCCTTAACCCACACATAAACCGACCCATACCACCAAACCTGTCCCTAACATTATCCGTACCCCACCTCAATAGGATGAACACAATAAGTACATAACAATGCTAGTAGTAAATTAAAGATATATAAACAGAGCAATTCCAATAGGGTCCTCTCACCATCGGTGCTCGGGCCCTAATAAAGTGTGACCAAAAACCCCCAACAAAGACTGTAAAAAGGACAAAGTAAAAACCTAATATCAATTTACATAAAAATATGTTTTTTGTTAATTAAAACTAAATGACCAGAATTATGGTGAAAAACTGTAAAAGGACAGAGGTGACTGCATGACACATGTAGCACATTTGAAGTAAGCATCTTAAGATTCTTTACAGAATACAAGAAAAATACAAATCATTACAGAAGGGATCAAGTCAAGAAGAAATCAAAAGTAATCAAAATTATATTAAACTGACTTTAAATATCGAGCTGAATCTCATATAATTGCTTAAATTATTTCGATAAGTTAAAGTAATGTAAAAACATGAGCTGCATTGCCATTGACTTACTGACTATATAATTTTTTACAGTGATATATTTTATGTAAATATTTTTGTCCTTCTTAGTTTTGTTATCAGTGATGTACATTGTGGTTTTCCGTTATTTAGTTAATATGTATTGCATTATTTTAGCATCAAGTGGTTTGCCCTGCATGTGTTTTGTGTTGGCCATGTTTTATGAACAACCCACTTGCATTGAACTCTGATTCATCATGGACGTGGCTCTTATGGTAGTCATCAGTTAATTTTAGTGTAAAAAAAAGATGTATTTCAAGTGGATTGGTAAATTAACATTATAACACTTAATGAAAGACACTGTTTTAAGTTATAAATATACAGGCACCAATAGGCCATCCTGTAATGAAATATTGTTTCCACCATATGTTTCAGTGAATTTCTGGCAACATGCTTTTTTTTCTTTTACTATAATGTTTGTTTGTTTTTTACAGAGTAAAAACACATGTGATAACTGTTCTACATTGAGATACTTGTGACAACGTCCCCCAGTCACAATAAGCTCCATTATTACATATTTCAAAGGACTGAACTTACTCTCAACTGAAGGCTCTGATTCTAGGATTTCCACTCTCCAGCGTTCACCGCTCCGCTCACAAAAGTACGGGCCGATATCTGAAGGCTTCAGGTCATGGATGAGGACAGAGAAGTTTCCTTCTTTGAACAGAAGGGGAAAAACACTCACTCGCCCTTCTGCCCTACCAAAGTAGATACTGCCATTACTCATGATCCTTAGAAGAGTAGCTCCATTGGAATTGTGGGTCCATTTCACAGTGTCTGTTTTATTGTCAAGGCTTATATTAAAGTGACATGGGAGAAAGACTTCAGATTTCAGAGAGGCGCTGATGGTGACCTCTGTCCATCCTGTGTTCCAGCGGTCCAGAGCTAAAATGGAGGGGCAGCGAAATATAACTGATTCAGTATATCACACAGTCACACATTTTCATCTCTTAAGAGCTGATTCCTATCAAAAATTGTTCTATATATTATTCTTTTGTACCATTATTGATAATATTAATACGTAATATTAGCCTATGCTACATCATATTCGATAATAAATACTGGTATTTTGAACCTACCATGTGAAGACAAAGCACCAAAAAATATCCAAAGATGTTTAATGTACATGATGCATGTCATTCAAGATGTCAAAGTTTGCAAGACCAAGTCAGAGATAGAGATGATAGAGAAAGTGTAGGCTGATGTCCTTCACATGTTATTTCCTGTAAGTTCACACACACAGCCTCTTTTCATGTGGCGGTTTAGAGCTGCAAATTCACAGCCCAAGTTACTTGACATTTAGGCTGTTTTCTGTTTTTTTACTGTCAGATTAGTGGTGTAACTAAGACCAAACAGTGAAAAATGTGTTTTGTAACAGATTTGATGACATTAAAGGCTGAGGGTATATAGATTTTCTTTTTGCATTATTGTGTTTTGAGGCTGCAAACGCCAGGCTACTTGCCTGGTTTCCATTTCTACTACCACATCCTGTAGCAAAGTCAAAGTAAGATCAACTTCTTAGTTAGATGGATGCCCTGTTGCAAAACTAATGAGTATGGTATAACAGAGATGATTCTTGTTCAACTCATTCACAAATCCTTTAATCACTGACATCACTGATGTCATAGGCTAGTTTATACTTACCGACTGAAATTACATCTTGTTGGATAACTGCTACAATCTCAGCCTGAATTTGCATAAAGGTATTGCAAATTATTTCATTTAGACCATCCTTATAAACACAAAAATAATTCCTTGATTTTAAACAATAACGTTTGCTTGTCACATCAAAATGAACAAAGTAAACAGTTATTTTACTTAAATGAAGATTGTGCGCCAGCCACAAGAGCAGGTGTTTGCATGTATTGCCTATTGCAAGCTAGTTTATTTTAAGATCCGCTTGCAACAACCACGACATGAGTATGTGAAAGTGTTTCCTCTAAATGACCTTAAAAATAACACTGGAGGTCTAAATCATAATTTTAGTTTTTTTTCCTTGTTCCCTTTCTTTATAGTATGCTTCACTATATTGCAAGTTCATAAATCAAGTTTTATAGCAAGCTGTTTTAACATTTAATCCCTAAAATGTAGGTTTTCATGCAACTAGGCCTACTTACTTTTTAGCTACCGGTATATCCATTACATTAGGTAAAGTAGTACTTATTGAAATGAAATGAACTCATTTAATAATTGATAATCTTTACAACAGAACTGAATCAACACTGAGCCGACTTCAGCTGAACAATACACTATTTTCTTTAAGAGCTGTTGTACAGTTGAAATGAACTCTGCATCACTGAATCATTTTCCTGTTATCACTGTAAAGATGCTTTGAAACTATCTGTATTTTATAAAGCGCTATATAAATAAAGGTGACTTGACTTTAGTGTAGGCTACCATTTTAAAGATATTCATTAGATAGCCTACTGCTTATTAGATACTGATCGAATAGTGACTATTTAATTATACATTACTAAATTATTAAAAAAAAATATATATATATAACTTATTTTTAGGTAAGCCAACTAACTTTTCAAACCAAAGATATGAAGGTAAATCAGTAGCTAAACTCGAGAGCACGTAGATGTGAATTTGAGAACTTGTACAATAAATATTCGTACTTGTATGTGAACATTTACACTCACAGCTCCAATGTGAAAACCTGTAAAATAAAAATCTGAAGTTGAATGTTGAGATTTGCACTCGCAGACTATAGTCACAAACCTGTATTCTGAATTTGAAGCTGCAGACAAGCAGTCACAAATGTGTATAATGCCATTCACAGAAATACAATGACAGTCACAAACATGTAAAATATATTTGCACTTCTTCTAACATTCAAATTCGCAGTACAACCTCAAATTGGCACTTGCAACTTCTCAAATCTGTCACTGCAAGTTCAAATTTCGCGCTTTGACTTTTGCTACTTTTTTCGCGATATATGAGGTGCAAAACTGATTTGTGCACTTGTAACTCAGTGGCGGTGAGAGCGGAAGGGGGGCGGGAGCGGGGGTGTTCGAAGGAGCCGTTTTATTGGTTGGCGCCTAGCCAATGAAATGGGACTTCTATTGCAGTCACGAAACCCGCCTCCTCGTGGATGTTCTGAAACGCTAACATGGCTTAATGCATTAGACTGATTTAAAAGACATAAATGATATAATCAAACTTAGTGATATTAACACCATACTAATAATGCATACTACAGAAAAGCAGATGAGCACAGAACATGACGAAAGAAAGCAAATTTGTGTTCAGTGCAAATAAACCAGCTGCCTTTGTTTTATTAATAATGTAAAACAATTTTTTATATATATATATATATATATATATATATATATATATATATAACTGTTGGTCCATTAAGCATCATTGAGCGTTTTCTTGGTTTTCTATGAGAGGAAATGCTTAACGTACAATTAAACAAGTTTTTATGGTGTTTCCTGTGTTTGGTCTTTTAATACCACTGTCTTAAGTTAACGTGTTGCGTTCATATTCTGTGCTAATCTGCTTTTCTGTAGTATGCATTATTGTGTTTACTAAGTTTGATAATATCATTTATGTCTTTTAAATCAGTCTAATGCATTAAGCCATGTTAGTGGTTCAGAACATCCACGAGGAGGCGGGCTTCGTGACATCATCGCGTACAATAGAAGTCCCATTTCATTGGCTAGGCGCCAACCAATAAAACGGCTCCTTCGAACACCCCCCCGCTCCCGCCCCCCTTCCGCTCTCACCGCCACTGAGTTACAAGTGCACAAATCAGTTTTGCACCTCATATATCGCGAAAAGAGTAGCAAAAGTCAAGGCGCAAAATTTGAACTTGCAGTGACAGATTTGAGAAGTTGCAAGTGCCAATTTGAGGTTGTACTGCGAATTTGAATGTTAGAAGAAGTGCAAATATATTTTACATGTTTGTGACTGTCATTGTATTTCTGTGAATGGCATTTTACACATTTGTGACTGCTTGTCCGCAGCTTCAGATTCAGAATACAGGTTTGTGACTATAGTCTGCTAGTGCAAATCTCAGCGTTCAAGTTCAGATTTTTATTTTACAGGTTTTCACATCGGAGCTGTGAGTGTAAATGTTTGCGTACACGTACGAATATTTATTGTACAAGTTCTCAAATTCACATCTACGTGCTCTCGAGTTTAGCTACTGAT